CTTTGTTACGATTCCAATACGGTTCCTATTTTATTCCAATACGGCTCCAATACGATTCCAATACGGTTCCAATATGGTTCCTATTTTATTCCAATACGATTCCAACACGGTTCCTATTGGGTTGGTGAATTGAAAACTGCGGGTTATTGTCATATGTGACAGTTTGAGAACTTTCTTCAAAAGAAACCCATTTTGGTGTCAATAGAAAAGTTGTAGAGAATCAAAAATTAGGCTTATAGCCAAATTTCCAAAAAGATACACTTAGTAGTTTCGCTTAAAATCCAAGTTTTGTAAAAATTCGTAAATTTGGCATTTCTTGAAAACCAGTTTTTGAATCGTTCTGAAAATTTGGATATAAGCTTGATTTTTGATTCTCTACAACTTTTCTATTGACACCAAAATGGGTTTCTTTTGTAGAAAGTGCTCAAACTGGGACATCTCCAGTCCTCCATTTTTGAGTCTCACACTTGTCTCACACACAAACAATCAAAACTTACAATTGTACCATTTGAGATCGATATCGAGTTTGCACCAGTGGAAACCATTCACGTCTAACACCAAGAACAGCTCGTTGCTGAAAATGTAGCTCTTTACCTTCTTTTCTTGATTAAAAATTGCACTCATGTGAAAAAATCAAAGTGTTTACTGGAATGGAACACAAAATAAAACGTGGAAAACGATCTTTTGGTGATACAAATTGCTTTTCTGGAGTGAGAACTTTGATACTTTCGGGAGCTTTTACAAAAATAGAAACTTTGTGGAGGTTTTGTCTAATTGTTGCTAAAAATGGAGAAAGTCTAAATTTAGCAGAGAACTCCAGAAAAAGGTACAGTGATCCGTCAGAAAACTCCCGAAAAAGCTCTGATAAGATTTTGACGTGAATTTGACTTGAACACGGTCTATAATAGAGTGGGTTCCTCGCGAGTAAGTCATTACTCGAGTAAATTTACATGAGTAATTGTCGAGTAATGCGTTTTTCTGTAAAAAAAAGTGCGCTTGCACGAAAAAAATATAAAAGCAATTTTTTGGCGCAGGTTTTGGGATAGGCTACTTTGCGCAACTGGGTCATTTGCAAAACAGGGTGATTTGCACAACTCGCCATAACTTTCTTCTAAGTGGACCAATCTTTATGATTTTGGTTTCGTTTTGTTGCACTTATTGAGATCTACAAAATGACACCAAAATCATAAAGATTGGTCCACTTAGAAGAAAGTTATGGCGAGTTGCGCAAATGACCCTGTTGCGCAAATAAAACGGCGGAAATTAGCCTACCCCCGGGTTTCTCAAAAAGAATCATTTTTTAGATTGGAAGGGAATCTTCCACCAAATCAGTTTTGGACGTTTTTGCGTTTTTGGTCGAGTAACTACGAGTAATCCTCTTTACACGTCGAATAAATTGAATATCTTTACATTTGAAGGGAATTTTGCCACCAAATCAGTTAAACGGCTGAGTATCTTTATAAAGTGTCGTATATAATCCGGGGCTCGTGATTTTTGCGTCATTTTTTCGCAATAATTTTTGCTAAAAGTACGGTAATTTTTTCCCAAGTGTGCGTTTTAAAAAACGCATTACTCGCGAGGAACACGCTCTAATACTATTCCTGACTGAATGCTTTGTTTAGGGACAATGACAGAAATAGGTTACGAAGTAGAATAGGGTTAAATTGCGGTATTAAATGTCTGATCAGACCGATTTATCCTAGCTCAGTCAAATTTCGGTTTAAACCCATCAGAATTGGCTTAAAGCAGAAGCTATTCGACTTCTTTCTGTTAGTACCAATCAGAGAAGAAAAGATATTTATAGAAAACGAAATGGCTCTTGCGTAGTTTATGGGTATTTTGGAAAATCCGGATTTTGGAACGGATCGTCGGCTTTGAAGGCACATAACTTTGCCCAGAGATAATATTATAGTTAACTTTTTCTATCATTGTACAGAAGATGCTAAAAGTACGGTAATTTTTTTCCAAGTGTGCGTTTTAAAAAACGCATTACTCGCGAGGAACACACTCTAGTCTATAATAGGGTCTATAATATACCCTTTTTGTGTAAAAGCTACCATAGCCCGGCTGACAGTTAATCTAAAGCATTTGATCCTTTTCTTGATGATCTTGATCTGATTCCCAAGCTCTTGAACAGTTCAAAAAATCTGCTGTAACAGGTTACTGTACCTTTTGTAGACAATAATTGATTACTGTAGATTACCCAAAAACACAGTAACTTATTCTAAAAGTTGCATCCAGAAAGAGACAAAGAATAGCGAATTACGGTAGCATAGTCAATCAATAGTGATTTACGATAGCTAGAAGATTACTGTGGCTAGATAGCAGATTACTGTGGCTAGATAGCGGATTACTGTAGCTAGATAGCGGATTACTGTAGCTTTCCTGGCTCCTTTTAGATACTGTCTGCAAGATTAGTCACAAAACTCACAATAATTGAAATTTTCAGCAAAAAAAGACGCACATTTCCCAAATTTGCAACAAACTTCGCTCGTTGACATTGAAAAAGAATCTCTTTCACAAAAAAACTCAAGTTTCGTCTTTAAAACAAAAAAAAGCGACGAATTTCCAATGGAAATGACTCTTTAATTTGAGATTTCGGCCTTTTACAGCTCTTCCCCTTTTACAAAAAAAAAGCTAATGGACAAAAGCCAAAAACTTGTATAAAGAGGCGACAAAATTCCATTTATAAGTCCACTTTTCACGTAGTTTCACGTAGTATATGCGTAATTGTTGAGGTAAAAGTAAAAATTATAAAATTTCGAGAAGATTTATAAATAATTTGAAAAACAAAGACGGTTTTGTAAAACTAAATGTGAGGCACTGAAATGGTAACAAATTGCAAAGCAAAAAGAGTTAGCACAAACATCGGGAGCTAGGAAATTTTCGAAGGAAAGCGTGGGAGAGTTGGGGAACGCAGACAAAAACTACATATAGACAGTTTTCAACAATTGAAGGATTCAAAGCTCTTAAAACATTTGAAAAACGGAACTAATCCTTTAAAGTCTATTAGGAACTAATCCTTTTATCTATTAGGAACTAAACATACAACTAATCCTGTCAACCTTTTCCATCTGTCTCAAACCAAGTAAGACTACAGCCTAGCCAGAAGTCAGCCCTAGAAACTCGTCCATGTACCTTTCTGGCTGAACTCCAGCTTCTGACTGATCCAACTGTATGTGGACCTAGGCCGGGCAAGCAGAAAGCCATTTGTAAATGCTCCGTTTTTCTCTAAGTCTTGCAAAAAACACTCAAAAATCCTCAAAATCGAGTGATTTTGAAGTTCAGCCAGAATCGAGTGATTCTGGAGTTCAGCCAGAAAGGTACATGGACGAGTTTCTAGGGCTGACTTCTGGCTAGGCTGTAGTCTTACTTGGTTTGAGACAGATGGAAAAGGTTGGCAGGATTAGTTGTATGTTTAGTTCCTAATAGATAAAAGGATTAGTTCCTAATAGACTTTAAAGGATTAGTTCCGTTTTTCAAATGTTTTAAGAGCTTTGAATCCTTCAATTTCATGTCCATTCAAAGTTTTGGGAAAAGAAACAACTCAAGTTCCAACGAAAAGACGTCAAAATACCTCAAAATCGGTAACTAACAAATTTTTTTGAATTTCGAGCAAATTCTGGAATTATTTCCAGTGCTGAAGCTCATCGGCGATAATTGGAACGATTCGAGAATGTAAAGAGACAAGAGCAATGAAAAGCGGTGAACTTGGAGAGGAGGTTTTGCTGGGTACAAGACCGGATTCACTGTTGTCCAGAAAGTCTTTTCGTTCTGAGTTTATAGGCTTTGTACGAAGCATATTCCAAAGCCGATTCTTCCAGGCTAAGGCGGATCTGATCTGGCCGGGTTTACTGTATCTTGGCCGTAACCTAAGCCGGACTAAACCGTACTTGACCAACTGGATCACTGAACCAACCAACTGGATCACTGGACCAACTAACTGGATCACTTGGACCACCGAACTGGATCACTTGGACCAACTAACTGGATCACTTGGACCAACGAACTGGATCACTTGGACCAACTAACTGGATCACTTGGACCACCGAACTGGATCACTTGGACCAACTAACTGGATCACTTGGACCAACGAACTGGATCACTTGGACCAACCAACTGGTTCACTTGGACCAACGAACTGGATCACTTGGGCCAAACAACTGGATCACTGGACCAACCAACTGGAACTAGCTTCCAGAGCTGGTCTAGGCGAAGGCTTAGCCCAGAAACAGTCCTGGACCTGGCTTGTTTTGGCTTTTAAGCCAGATTAGAACGAGATCTGCAAGCCCTACTCTTTGGTGAGTGATTCTTCTTCACCCGAAGTCATTTCCTACTAGGAATTGAATCAGGAAATCTATAAATGAATCGAATTTTCTTTATGGGATGAAAAAGTATTGAAAAATGTCATTTCCTTTGTTTACTCTTTCTCAAAACCACAGTAACCACAAATCGTTTTTCGATCTTTACAATTTTGTTCACTAAAAATGAGCGCTTGGAAAATTCAGCCAAATCCAGCACTAATTTATCGCCGATTCATGAGATTTTGGTTCGATTTTGATTCTTTTGTTCTACTTACACTCTTCTCTTTCTAATTATTAACCTGAAGCATTTTTTTCTGATTTCTTTTACTTTTGTATTTTGCATGCTTACGAAAATTGGTTTTTCGGTTTAAGAAAAGGATAAACTGGCTTTGATCTTTGTTTTTGAGCTGAAAAAAGTACACTAAGCTTTACTATTCTCAAAATCATTAATCAAATCAAAAAATCAAACAAAATCCAGGGATTTTTGGATGAATCAATTGCTTTATATTCTTGCAACTCTTGTGTGTTATTTTGCTTTAAAATTTGAGCTTCTAAGTACAGGCCTGGGTCTCATAAACAACTTTAAATGTACAATCATTTGTTTGATTTATTTTCTTGAACAAAACGAATTCATTTTCTTTTAATCAGTTCATTGGGTGTACTCGGTCAAAGTCTAAACTATTTTTATAATAATTAACTTGTAAAGCAAACTGGATTTTGTAAGACCATCTTTGAGTTTTTGCGTCTCCACGAAAGATCTCTGAACTCGTCAATGACCTAAATCGTGAGTTTACGGGGGAGAATCGTTTGAGGAATGATGGAAACTGTATAAGAGATCAAGTTCAATTGTTCGAAAGTGCCGAGATTAGACCTGGATTCAATTCACCAACTTATCAGCATGGCCCTGTCAGCTCTAGGCTGAAACTCGGGATATCGGACATTTGATAGGCGCCCCACCCCCTTTGCTATTGGCAATCTAACTTTAAGCTCAAACATCCTGGTGTTGAACTGTTCAATTTAAATATTCTTGATATCATTAGATACGTAAAATCTTTCTCTGTCGATTGGTATAAAAAGTATTCAAATTGGACAGCTCAACACCAAGATGTTTGAGCTTAAAGTTGGATTGGCATTGGCAAAGGGGCGGAGCTTGTATCAAATGTCCCACAATCGGTCTAGACTGTCGATTTACAGGTCGATTGGGACTCCTATTCAAGATGTCTGAGCTTAAAGTTAGATTGTCAATGGTAAAAGGGGGCGGGGCTTATCAGATGCCGATAACCTTTTATACCCGCCCCGTCCCTTTGCTATTGGGAATCCAACTTTGAGCTCAAACATCTTGGTGTTGGGCTGTCCAATTTACATTTTCTTGCTATCATTGAATTCGCCAAGTCTTTCTCTGTCGATTTTTATAAAACTATTTAAATTGGAGAGCCTGATACCAAGATATTTGAGCTCAAAGTTTGCCAATGACAAAGAGGCGGGGTTTGTCAGATGTCCGATAACCTTTTATATTTGCCCCGCCCCCTTTGCCATTGGCAATCCAACTTTGAGCTCAAATATCTTGATTTTCGGCTGTCCAATTTCAACAGTTTTTATACCAATCGACAGAGAAAGAATTGGCGCATCTAATGATATCAAGAATATTTAAATTGGACAGCCTAAAACCAAGATATTTGAGCTCAAAGTTGAATGGCAAAAAAGAGCGGAGCGTCCCACAAAATGTCTCACAATAGAAATTCGGTCCTGTCAGCTAGTCAATTCAGTCCACTGAACTGGACTGGATCAAACTGGAGCGTGTTACAGGACCAGTTAAGATATGAGGGATTTGAAGATTTAACCTTCACCTCTTTGTTAAGAAGCAGGAAAATCACAGCTACAATAATCCCTTGAAGAACCATGCTGATTGTTAACGTGTAGGAGTAGATTTTGAATAGCTGAAATCTTTATAAACAAATTTTCTTCTTTAAAACCCACCAGGAAAGTATTTTTGTTTAATGAAAGTGGGAACAAGTGAAGAATCTCTGGAATTGCCACCAGGAGAAACAGGAAAAAGGCAATCACAATGTGGATTCTAAAAAGCAACTAAATTTACAGTCCTCTTGGAAAGGCACAGGCTAAGGTAAACTTTGGACTTATCTCTTGATCAACCCTACTTGATTCTTTTGTATTCGACTGTTGGTACGTAGTTCTTGTAATGACATAAAAGGACTCGAGCGATGTTTAACAACATGATCATTGTTAACTAAATCTCATTAAAGCTCCAAAGCCAATCAAAAACTCACTGTATTTGTAATCAACTTTGGAACGCTGAGAATTAACATGCTCCGTAAGTAATAGCTTCCTGTAAAAGTTTCAAATCATTCGTGAATTCTTTACTCTCACTAACCTAGACATTTCTCCATTTTAAAGTTGTGATCTTTCCACAAAGAAAGCAACCAAAAGATAGCGTTGATGAAAGGGAGCACTGAAATGAAATTTATCATACTTTCAAAAACAGTTCAATTAAACGGTCCTTTTATGGACTGGGAATACAAAATGTGGTCGGCGACGGGTTTCGAACGACCTCTCGCTTAACGGACTACACTCTAGAGCTGACACTCTAGAGCTGACACTCTAGAGCTGACACTCTAGAGCTGACACTCTAGAGCTGACACTCTAGGGCTGACACTCTAGGGCTGACACTCTAGGGCTGACACCTAGGGCTGACACTCTAGGGCTGACACTCTAGGGCTGACACTCTAGGGCTGACACTCTAGGGCTGACACCTAGGGCTGACACTCTAGGGCTGACACTCTAGGGCTGACACTCTAGGGCTACACTCTTGGGCTGACACTCTAGGGCTGACACTCTAGGGCTGACACTCTAGGGCTGACACTCTAGGGCTGACACTCTAGGGCTGACACTCTAGGGCTGACACTCTAGGGCTGACACTCTAGGGCTGACACTCTAGGGCTGACAAGCATCTCATTACCACTAGTTTAGGGCCTTATGTCTTACTATTCTTTCAATCTTGGTAAACACTTACAGTAACCGAATCCAAGGTAAGCCGCAAGAGACTCTTTCCTGCAAAGATTCCAACAGATCCGATTGTGAACATAGAATGCTAAAAGCTATTGTAAAAGCAATTTCAAGCTAACTTTTGCTGATAAACCTAACACTAACTTTCTAAAAAGATCCAAGCAACCACACAGATCTTCCCATATTCTAAAACAAAGAAAAAGAGCTCACAGACGAATGGCTGAAATGATATTAGGTCGAAAATTGGAAAAAGAAAAGAATAAAAGAATCAGACCATGTTTGTAACGTATCTCCATTCAGTCATGAGATCAACAAAGAGGATTAGTCTGAAACCATTCACTTTTGATGGTTCTTTTATAGAACGACGATTGATTCTGATTGATGTTCAATGATTGATTCTGATTGATGTTCAATGATTGGTTCTGATTGGTGTTCAATTATTGATTCTGGTTGGCAATTATTGATTCTGATTGATGTTCAATGATTGATTTTGATTGATTTTCAATGATCAGTCCAGATCAATTCAATCAATTCAAGCGTGTTCAATGTCTATTAGAACTTTCTATCTTTTCAAAAAAATCTTTTGAAGCTTGTTTTTTCAAAATCTCATTCAAATATGAAAAAACTCATTAAGAAAGCACTGAATTAGAGTTGGGAAAAGCATACTACTTGTACCCACTTACTTTTACTGTTTACTCAATTTGTTATGCGAAAAACCGATTCATTGGAACTGGGTCACTAAATTACAGAGATCAGCCCTAGTTATTCTTGTTTAACGATCAGAAATTCTTCACTATTTACCAGTTTTCGAAGTTAAAAATGTTGAAATCATATTTCAGTTTTGATTCTTTCAAGAAAACTTAACATAAGTTTGTGAAAAACTCAATTCTACTTCAACTTATCACAGTGAGCGCTTTCCACAGGAGTTTCTAGACAAACATCAACGCGAAATCCAATAATTTTGAAAAAAAACTGACTTAAACTTGTTAAAGTATATGCGTTTGATATGTTTGTTTCTTTTTTAACATTAGATTTCTATAAAACGAGCTTTAAATCTAGTAATCTATTGATTTACATAAATATTGAACACCCTGTATATCCTTTATCGTTATCAAACTATAAGAATTCCAGTAGTAATCATCTTTTATCTAACACGAACCAAAAAACCCACCTAAGGGCTAGAAAAAAGGCTGACCGTGTCCGTAGACCTAGGTTGTTTGTTCCCGTTTTTGTCAGCGCTGTTTCTTGTTTGTTTGTTTGTTACCGTCAGAAGCGAGACCTGGACTTTGTTTCTGGCCCAGCTGATTTGGATTTACATACTTTTAAGCCCATTTGAAACATCTCTCATTACGCTTCATCGATTAAGATTTTGGTATAGGAATGGGGACCAAATCGGAACCGTATGGGAACCGAATCGGAACCGAATCGGAACCGAATCGGGGACAAATCGGCCCTGAGTGGGGACAGAATCGGAACCGTATGGGGAACCGGGTCGGAGACAAATCGGCCCTGAATGGGGACCGAATCGGAACTGTATGGGAAGCGGATCGGTACCGAATCGCAACCTAATCGGAAGCGAATGGGAACCGAATCTGAACCGAACCAACCTTGTAATCCCAACAATCAGTAGAGCAATCATTGTGCAAATGTGGATCATGTTACGAAAAAAACGAAGTCGCCTAAAAATAGAAGTAAAATCGACTCCAAACATTGCTACCGAAATTTCAGATACAATCCAAGTACAAAGAGCAACGCCAAAGTCGAAACCACGTAGCCGATCAGCTCAGCAATTCGCAAGTTTTGCGAAAGTTTTTGCATTTCCTATACAATACTTTGGGCTAAGAAATCAAAAAAAATAAACTTTCATCATGGGAGAAGAGAAACTTTGCACAATCGCCAACACTTCATCAGTGAAACATGTAGTGTAATTTGTCCACCCTGCAGTGTTCCTGAAATCCGTCGCGTTTTTCCCGCCCCATCGGCCGGTGATCTCACAGAATTTGGTGACATTTTCTGGAAGTGGATGTTTAACCAGTAATGTACGATGAATATGTAAAATTTAGTGGATTAAATTATCTGCTTAACATAGCAAATAAGCAAATAAGCTTCTGTAGCAGCTTATTTAGCTTCTGTAGCAGCAAATAGCATTAAGCTTTTGTAGCAGCTTCTGTAGCAGCTTCTGTAGCAGCAAATAGCAATAAGCTTCTGATTGTTAGAGTAAAAAGTTGCGTTTCTTACTGGAAAACGTCGCTAGGTGCCTGTAACCATTTAAAACGAGACTAACTCCATCTTCTAGAAGCGACTATGCTGATTCCGATTCCGTCCTCACTTTTTCAATCCATCGCGTCAATTCATCGAGCCGAAAACATCCGAGACTGGCTGAACAACAACAAAATTGCAACTTTAGACTGGCCCGCTCGACCTCCTGACCCCAATCCGATAGAGAATTTGTGGGAAATATTTGTGCGAGCTGTCTACAAAAATCATCGTCAGTTTCAAGACGTTTTTGCACCTAAGACAGTAATCCGTTTGGCCTGGAGCGATCTCGACGTCTCCGCTCTTCAAAACCTCATCACTTCAATGCCAAACCGCATTTTTTTCTTTCAGTTTTTGACCTTGAGGCCTGTAGCTGTAACCTGTAACATTACAAGTTTTTGGCTCCTGAATTAAGTTCATTTTTTTGCAACGGGGCCTACCAGGGATGTGGGGCATTCGCCAAAGTTGCCGATTACAAGTCCAAAGCACCCTGGCTCGATCCTCTATTCGGCCAATTTCTTTTGGTTTTGTAATCTGGCCCAAACTCCATTCAAATCAAAATAGAAATGAAAGTAATGATTTTTTTTATCGAGCCTTTAATTGAGACTTATAACGTTTAAACCTACAAAAAGTGTTAGGTTGAAAAAACAATGGAAATTCGCCAAGGGGATCGAACCAGGGTGCTTTCGAGCCGTAGCTGACAACTTTGGCGATGCACGGAGCTAGCTAGCTCCGTCACAAAAAACGAACTCAAGTAAGGAGACCTAAAACTTGTAAACCAGATATCTTGCGTTACAGGCCTCGAGGGGGAAAACTGAAAACGGATTCGGAATCAGCGTAGTCGATTCTATAAGATGGAGCTGTTCTCGTTTTAAAACTTGGCGACGTTCCCTAGTTTGGTTTAATTGACTGCTTGATTTTAAGTCTACAATCTTAAGATATTCTGTCCTGAACTTGCACAAGTAAGCCTATGTGCCCAAGCACTATGCACAAGCATAGTGCTATGCAACTATGCACAAGCAAGCTTTGGAGCCGTAGTTGACTTGGCGATGCCATTAAGCTCAAGAATCTGTTCATTTTCACCCTAAAACTTGATAACTGATATTCAGGAGATGCCTTAAGATTTTTGGATCTGTGCAAAACTAATTAGATAGTAACAGGTTCTCTGCTGAAACCGGCTCTGCTAAACTACACTTTTATTATATTTTTAGCAACCAACTTGCTGGGTCAAGTCCCTTCAAAGGAGGACATGAAAGGGTGTAGTTTTCACCAGCTGGCACGGGTGGCCAACAGAGTACGGTGTCGAATGTTGCGCTGCACCATTTTCGACCATCTAAAACGCTGGAAGATTAAGGGAACATGCAAAAAACTTAGTATTTAGATAAGAAAAGCTAAAAACAAACCATTCGGTGGATTTGGATCAATCCCACGAAGAGCTTCGATACACTGTTCTGGTAGATGATCCGGGCGAATCATTGGAACACTTTGGAAGAAGGAAATCAGTCAATAATTTGTGTTAGGATTAGGATAAAAGAAAAACTGTTTCCTTTTGAGCGATCTCTTTCAATTTCTATCAGTTTATCGGTTTCAAGGACACATAACTTGTTGATAAATAAAAGAAAAAGGAAAAAGGAAATTGTTGAAAATGCAAGCTCAAAAAGTGCTGATGAATTCTGTGTATTTTTAGCTGAATTTTACGAGGTTTTTTAGGATTTTAAACTTATGTTTAAAGATGTTTAAGGATGTTTAAAAATGTTTAAAGATGTTTAAAGAGGTTTAAAGAGGTTTAAAGAGGTTTAAAGATGTTTAAAGATGTTTAAAGAGGTTTAAAGAGGTTTAAAGAGGTTTAAAGAGGTTTAAAGAGGTTTAAAGAGGTTTAAAGAGGTTTAAAGATGTTTAAAGATGTTTAACGATGTTTAACGATGTTTAAAGATGTTTAAAGAGGTTTAAAGATGTTTAAAGATGTTTAAAGATGTTTAAAGATGTTTAACGATGTTTAAAGATGTTTAACGATGTTTAACGATGTTTAAAGATGTTTAAAGAGGTTTAAAGAGGTTTAAAGAGGTTTAAAGATGTTTAAAGATGTTTAAAGAGGTTTAAAGAGATTTAAAGAGGTTTAAAGAGGTTTAAAGATGTTTAAAGATGTTTAAAGATTTAAATATTTAAAGATTCAAAAGATTAAAGCTTTTTTCTTTGAGGAAAATGATTGCACAGCTCGATTTTATCATTTTTCTGTTTGCAAATAGACAAGAGCTTTGCGTATTTAGAATGCTTAGGTTTGTCTGCTGTTTTAGATTGTCTGGACTTCAATTTGATACCTGTATTCATTATATAACACTTATCGTCAGCAAAACTTTATTCAAACTTTATTCAAAAATTTCCCGTAAAAGCAAGTTAAGTGAATGAACATGATAAGGTTCAAAAAAATCTTCTAAATATGATCCCTGAGTATATTTGTGGCACACATCACTGAATATTGAACAATACTGATTTGTTGAGCCAGCTCTCGCCCTGCTTCTTCACGTTCGGCAGCCGATTTTGCAGCAGAGAAGGCGGCCACCTGAAAGTGGGATTTGCTAACTTGAGTTTAGAGGAAAAGTTTTTAAAGACTTAACTCATTTTAATTGTAGAGTTTTAGAGTCTCAAGATACGAAGAAAGATGAGTTTGAACTAACCGCATCAAACACTGAAGCCATTTCCAGCCCACTGTAGCTGTCCTTTGATGAGATCGAGAAGAGAACATGGCGACTTTGTGGAGCACCGGCCATTCCACGAGGATTGATGAAACATCGCTCAATTCTGGAAAGTATCTGATTGTCTAGATCTGATTGTCCAGATCTTATTGTCTAGATCTAATTGTTCAGACCTAATTGTCTAGATCTGGTTGTCCAGATCTGGTTGTCTAGATCTGATTGTCCAGATCTGATTGTCCAGATCTGATTGTCAAGATCTAATCGTTCAGACCTAATTGTCCAGATCTGATTGTCTAGATTTGATTGTCCAGGTCTTATTGTCTAGATCTGATTGTCTAGATCTGGTTATCTAGTTTTGATTGTCCAGATCTGATTGTCCAGAGCTAATTGTCCAGACCCGATTGTCCAGATCTGATTGTCTAGATCTGATTTTGTGAACCCGAACGATACCTTGCAATCAAATATTCTAATAGATACTCAATAATATTTATAGCTGTCGATGATTGAAATCATTTTTGCAAAAACCATTTGATTTTAAATACAAATGTTTACATGCCATGCAAAATTTTGAGGCCACAGAGTTTTACAAGACGCAAACGTTCGCTATCAAGCATTCTATCTTAGCCCCATTTGTTAACATCTACGTTTTTTAGTTTTCATACTCACTGATTTACTTGTATTAGCTAGTTTTGGTTTTTCAGATCATCGTCATGGAAGTCAAATTTATGGAGCAATTGAATCAACAAAATCCTCAAAGAGAAGAGAAGAGAAGATTCCGGATTGGGTTTTGAATTTGGATTTGGATTCCGGATGTCACCAAGTACGTTGAAATGATTGAAACGATGAGAATCACCAAAGAAGACTCAAAAAAGAAGAAAACAGCCGAAGAAATTTGTAAATTTGCTGACATGATTAACGACTCGAGTTGAAAACGATATGAACATTCTCTAGAATTTCGGAAAAACTGGAGAATTACAATGCGTGATCGGCAAAGAGAATCTTTTCGGATCTTTAATGAAAAGATCAAGAGCATTTAGGACGGGCTTTGTCTTGTTTTCTTTTAGACATTTTTATTCTTAAAATTGTCAGCTTATTGTTTTCATTAGGTTATATTTTTGAATTGAACTTTGCCTCACTCACCCCATAATCCTCTCATTGATCGCATTCACGTGTCGTGGATCATAGGGATTCTGCTCAAAAGCTGATCTTGCAAGCGTGATCGTTGTATTGAATTGGCTGGCTACTGTGTAGAATTCCTGAATAATTACATAAAGTAAAATCAAGCAAAATCAAGCAAAATCAAGTAAAATCAAGCAAAATCAAGCAAAATCAAGCAAAATCAAGCAAATTACCGTAGCTGCTGTCCCCAGATTGGTGAGTTGTTGTTTAGCGTCGCTGATTGCTTCCTAAATTGCTGATTGCTTTTGCGTGTTCAATTGTTAAACTAAGCCACTCACTTTGAAATACATAAGCGGATTAATTGCATTCCTCAAGTCTTGCATGTAAACTTTCATTATCGTTGCCGCCAAGTCGGTAACGTTGAACGGGAGAATGACCTGAGAATTGGAATCCTGAGAATTCAATCATGCAAAATTTTACCTCATCAGCGAATCTCCTTGCCAACTCGCCCCACATTTGGCCGACTGCTTTGTGAAACTAAAATTTCATTTAAATTCAATTCTAGATTATTTTACTTACTGCAAAATGATCTGGGTCCAGCAAATGCTCGTTGACGAACGGTGTCTCGTACAAGCTGTGATAAAGGGCATAGTCTTTCTTCGAAGCATTCTAAATCTTGGATATTTACTCGAGTTCGTTTTTAGCTTGGTTTTGCTTCGATTAACATCTTGCTATTGGCTAGCTTAAAGCCTTTTCCAAACTAACATTATAGGAGAAATCGATGACAGGCACTCCGGCATACGTCAAGAAGGGAGCGTGATCCGAACCACCGCCCGGCACTGGCATCAATGGACGACCTTTCCGCTTTGAATCGGGCCAGTATTTCAACCTAGTACAGGTTACCATTGATTCACTTTATCCGATTTAGTATCTACGTTAAAACAGTGCTAAAACATTGGTCTAGATCCTCGTTAGTCTAGTCTAGATCCTAGGTGCAAGCTTTTCAATCTGGCTCGGTCCAAACTTTGATCTGGTTTGCCTACTTCTGGCCTGGTAGATTTAAAAACAATAGGCACCTAGATTATCTTTAAATCTTCAGACCTTGAAGCTTCTACTTTCAGGCGTTAAATCTGTTAAATCTATATCGAAATGTTTGTTCCAGGCCGAACAGCAACCTAATTTAGACCCAAACACTTGTTCAGGAACTTTTATGTTCAACTGTTACTTTAATTCCCCCCAAAAAAAACCCCACCTTATAAAAAAAAAAAAAAACTTTCTTTTTTTTTTAATTCTTTTCCCCCCCCCCTTCTTTTTTAAAAAAAAAAATTTTTTTTTTTTTTTTATTTTTTTTTTTTCCAAAAAATCTTAAATTATAAAAAAATTTTTTTTTTAAAAAAAAAAAAAAACCTTTTTCCCCAAAATTTTGATTTTTTTCAATTGTTCAGGCCAAGAGTTTCCAAGAACTCGTTTGCTTCAAGCAATGGTCAAGCGTACACTTTACATAACAACCAGCTGACTCATTTAAAGTTTATACTGCCACAAACCAAGTATCGAAAACTGTTTTCCTGCCTCGATCGATCTCCGATTTGGAAGGATTTGTGATTGTCTTTGCCGCACTCACCGCCACATCGTACAACGCGGGAACTGTGTTCACCATTCTAAACGAGCTTCAGTTTTGTCTATTCTCTGCCAATTCACATACAATGACCGATTTCCGGTCATACAATCCATATTGATGTAAACGACGGCTCGTTTTTGGAGAACGTCCAAGAATTCCTCGACGAATTCAGTTGAGCCAATCAAACCGAACTCCTCGGCGTCCCAAGACATGAAAATGATGGTCCTGGCTGTAATTTGGATACTATTTGGTACTAATTTCCATACTAAGTTTGAATAGGAGTCCCAATCGACCTGTAAATCGACAGTCTAGACCGATTGTGGGACATTTAATACAAGCCCTGCCCCTTTGCCATTGGCAATCCAACTTTGAGCTCAAATATCTTGATGTTGGGCTGTCCAATTTAAATAGTTTTTGTACCAATCGACAGAGAAAGACTTTACGCATCTAATTGTACCAAGAATACTCAAATCGGATAGCCCAATACAAAGATATTTGAGCTCAAACTTAGACTTATCAGATCAGAAGCAAAGCCAAGAGCTGGTTATCCTGCACTCACCTGGTCTCCATCCAGTTTGATTCATCGTTGCCACCATCGATCGTGCCACTTCGCTCAAGATCGCCGTCCCATCATTTGGATCGATGGATCCGTAAACCTAAACTTGCTAAAATAATCTCCAACGCAAGCTATTCTAGAGCTTAAACAATCAGAATCACCATACCCAAGCATCAAAGTGATTCCCCAAAATCACATATCGATCCGGCTCATCCCGACCACGAATGTAGCCAATCACGTTTCGGATTTTTCTGGAAAGAAAGAAATTGTTGAAACTGACAATGAGACATTTAAATTTCAAGTTACCTGCTTTTCAACTCAGACTTTACATCGATGGTGAGCGTCAAACCGTTGTTCAAACCTGGTCCAGTACGGTAGGTGACGTTCAAGCCTCCCTAGATTGAGTTTTTACTTTGCTTTGCACTTACAGACTACTAACAAGTGTACTATAATGTAATTGTACTAATTATACTATCTAAAAGTACTAACTAATTCTTACCTGCCAGGGCTTGGGAACCGGTCTACCCTTCATCCTCGAGATGATCTGCCAAGCGGTAGTGTAACTGATCGGGAGAACCGGGATCGTTGGGATCACTCGAGCTTTCTTGGCCTGAAATTGAGAATCGTAAATCTGGTAAATGATTGAAGCTGGTCAATTTTCTCACTTGCTCAATTGTCCTTGACTTGTAAATCTCGGTCTTAGCTGGGTAGAGTGGAGTCAACGGATCACCGTCGCCGTGCATGATCGAGCCACGCTGCACACCTTCATTTGGCATCCAAACAGTGTTTGGGTAAACGTGAGCTGTAAATGAGATTGTTACTGGATTCTTTGTGATTCTCAGAGCACAAACGAGTTCCCCAAATAGCCTCTTACATTGATCAGTTCCATCTGTAGCCACGTCAGCCGGATCCGAATACAGAATTGCGCCAATGGCTCCGTAATCTTGCGCGATCTTTACTTTATCCCCTCGGAAACCATCGCCATAGCGAAGGAGAGCGATTTTGCCCTTAAATTGAGTAAAGACTAGAGAAATTGCTAGACTTTACCTCAACACTGACGCCCATTTTCTTTAGATTCTCAAAGTCAGCCTCGTGTCCTCGATTGCAAAAGACGACCTCACCGGTGACGACTCCTGGAGCGGCCCAGGCAACCCATTGATGCCCAGCGTCTAGAATGGAAAAGCTAGCGTAAAATCTATACAGTAAATACTGTAATTGGACCCCATCCCTTTAAGAGTAATTGGTAATTGTCCATCTGTCTGGCTCCATTTTTATCCCGGCTCCATTTTCATCCCCCCGAAATTTCTTCAACCAGCCGACATTTTATGGAATGCTCCATTCAAAGCTTACATTCGCCAACAGTACGGAACAGTACGAGGATTGGATCTTGATATTTGACGGCACTATCTGGATCCCGATTTGACGCAATCACGAAATGACGGCATTGGCGGTGGGAATCCCAAGGCTCTATCAATGGAAACCTATTTGGGTTGGGTCCTGGAAGCCTGGGAGCAAATTTGAAGCATGATTTGCAAGCATGATTTGCAGCAAGCATGATTTGAAAATCATTCAAGCTTGTGGGATCCCTTAAATGGAGATGAGGATCATTTGATTAATTGTTTCAAGCCGGATGGATCGATTCCTTCAGGATTGCATTCCGTTATTCCCTTTTGCGCAATTCTACAATGTTTTTAGACTAGTAAAGCTTAGCCTTCCTAGTCAGAGCTTTGTATTACCTAAATACCACACCTTTAACTTGAATTGAAAGTCAAACTTCAAATCAAATCAGGCTTTGAAATCAAACTACTTTTTAGATATTCTGCTTTATTCAAAGTTTGGATTTGAGCAAGTCTAGGTAAGAACGGAGCTTCATTCTAAGCTTCTAAGCAGTCAGTACGGAGGTCAGAAAGGAGTTCATTCTTCTATTCAACAACCAAAGCTCACATTTTCCACTCTGTTCATCCGGGATGATCACTGGACTGACTCCTGTGCTCTCAAAGACAGTCTGTGCTCCGTTTTTGATGAAAACCTAAACTTTCCAATATCTAATTGAAACATTTCAAGCCTAAATACTTTGTTTGGTTGATCCCAATTCGGATACGAGAGAAGCACGTCATACGGTATCAAACGGACATCTAAAATCTCACTTATTCAATGATCAAAACGCAATCTGATAACTTATTCCAGAAAAGTAACTCAAAATAATTTACCCTCAAGTCCAATCGTTGTCCAAAGATCGGCGATTGCGTGTGCGACTTTCTTGTTATTTTCGGTCCCAGCTACATGAGGTTCTCGAGTAAATACACGTAAATATTCCTGAAATATTTATCTTCTTGGTCTATTTCAAAATCTAACTCACTTTTATATTCTCGGCGTTTATATTATCGCTCAACTTGTTTGCCACTTGTGAGTGATAATCTAAATGTTTAGGGTTGAGATGAAAGTTCAAAGATCAAACGCTTAGATTCTTTCTTTGGTTTTCTTAATCGGTCAAGCAAGGTTGTTCTAAATGCAAGCTTTGTCTGGCTTTTCTTTGCTGTTGGCCTGAATCCTGGTTAGTTCTACAAAAGTTCTGTCTTCCAGATTAAGCCAGAGCTTGGTTTAAGTCTGATTTTGATTTCATGGCCTTTTGTAGGTCTGTATTAAAACCAAAGTTAAACCAGAACCAGCTAAACTAGAATCAGTTAAACTAGAACCAGTTAAACCAGAACTAGTTAAACTAGAAACAGTTAAACCAGAACCAATTAAACCAGAACCAATTAAACCAGAACCAATTAAACTAGAACCAGTAAACTAGAACCAATTAAACTAGAACCAATTAAACTAGAACCAATTAAACTAGAACCCAGTTAAACCAGAACCGGTTAAACTAGAACCGGTTAAACTAGAACCGGTTAAACTAGAACCAAAGTCAGAAGCCATTAGGCTATCCAGAAAGTCTTTTCATTCCTTTCGTTGAAAAATAACAAATTCACCAACTAACCTATGATTTTCTCTTTATAAAAAGTGTTTATTGTTTAATTTCCCATCTTTTTAACTCAATTTCCGTTCACTTTCAAGCAAAAAGCAATTCAAGAATGAAAAAAAGTGTTTTTCGTAAACAAATGATAGTTCAATTGGTCCATTTGTTGGTCTTAAAAGAAGAAAAGATTTCCTAGAAAGCTTAGTAGGTTTTAACTTGGCTTTCCTATTGAATTGCTTCATTGAAAGCTGATTTCGTTTTGATTGCAATTGTACAAGTTGTACAATTGCAATCAAAACTGTTCCTTTTCCAATTTCCAGATTCAGATCCGAATTTCCAGAACAGATTAGGTCAAATTATGCTAAAACTAGAATAAAGCTGTGGGTTTTTGATGGTCAAACGTGGCTCGGTTTTGTTTATTTATTGTTAGCTTGGTTTGGCTTTGGCTTGACTTTGGCTTGGCTTTGGCTTGGCTTGGGCTTGGCTTGGGCTTGACTTTGCCTGGCTTCGCTTCGCCTAGGTACCCATAGCTTTGTGACTTCTAGAAGCAGCTAGAAGCAATCAAGAAGCTTCTAGAAGCAATCAAGTCAAAATCTGACAGATATTCAAATTAAACTTTAGCAATATAATGATACGATAAACTTTGATTGATTGAAATGAGTAATTCAAGAGTGAAAAACGTGTTTTTCGTGAACAAATTATAGTTCAATTGGTGCATTTGTTGGTCTTAAAAGAAGAAAAGTTTTTCTAGAAAGATTTTCTAGATTTCTAGTAGGTTTCAATTTGGCTTTCCTATTGAATTGCTTCATCAAAAGTTGTTATCTTTAGGTTAAAACATTTCTTCAGAAAAAGCTAAACAAACGAACCTTCCAATGTCTCGGGTCTCGGCTGAATAGATGGATTCTCGGAATGATATTTCCCCAACAATGCCACCAATACCGTTAGGAACACTCCGAGCGCCATCGACAAATAAACTTTGAGCATTGGCGGTCCGCATAGTGATTCTGCTGCTAAACGCTTCATTATTAGCTGATTAGTGATTTTTTTTTCCATTTAATTCCCTATCCCCTAGCGTCAAGTGATCTATTTTGTTGTAATAATGGATTAGATCATTGGAAAGACCAATCTTTTAGTCTTTTGGGATTGGAAAAGGCCAACTGACACCCCGATTCAACAAGAATGTTTTCCTTTAGGTAAAACCACGAAAATTGACAGCAGATGGATTTGAAAAAGAAAAGAAAGAAAGATCTATCACTTATTGTTTTATTAACAGGTGTTTTTGGGTTGGAGATGTTTGTTTCTTTTGTTTCTTTTGGTTTAGTGATGCTTGAGCTTTGTTTGGAAAGTAAATAATAACTTTTTAACACTTTGAATAGTGTTAAATAGATCTAAATAGATCTAAATAGTTAAATAAACTACTTTTTCTATTAATGTACATTTTTAAACAATTAAACCTACTTAAATCTAATCTTAAACATCTATAAGTTATGTTCTTTATTGAATCTATTCAATTTCGGACGTCCGTTTTTGTTTCTAGTATAATTATATTATTAGGTTGATGCAAAAGTCTTTTTCATTTTTTTCGTACTTCTTTTGAAAAATAACAAAGTCATCAATTAACCTATGGTTTGCTCTAAATGAAAGTGTTTTTCAATTCCCATCTTTAAGTCAATTTGGGTTCACTTTCAAGAAATTGAAAGGGTTTTTCTTATAAAAATCTATAAAACCCCCTTAAAGAAATTGGCTGAATAATTTCTCTGAAAATCTGAAAAAATCTACTTTTTTGCCCTTTTTTTTAACATCAAGATTGGTTTCCTTCTAAGGCGTCTAAAATGCATCATCGAGCCGCCCTTTTTGACTACCCGCTTCGGCTCTCAAAAAACTAGCATAAGACATTTTAAACTCGTTTTAATGTCATTTTGCAGAAAAATAATTGGCCTTTCGAATGCAATAAACCGTTGTTCAATTGGTGCATTTGTTACTTTTTAACGGAAGTACGAAAAAAATGAAAAAGACTTTTGCATCAACCTTATTAATTTTTGATTTTTTACTATAAGTTTTACTAATATTAGTGTTGTTTTGGAAAAAGTTTAAAAAAAGATTGTTGCTTTAAGAACTTTAGATCAAATAGAGTTTTCTATATTAACTTTAGGGTTGGGTTTAGATTCTCTTTCTTTTATTCATTTAGTTACTCATGCTTTATTTAGAAGTTTCGTTATTATATAGATAAAACTTGAAATTATACTTGATAACTCGTAAAAACAATAGATGAAAACAAAAATCGTTAAAGTGGACAATTCAAAAACGGACGTTTGATTCAGAATCAGACGTTCGTTTATGAACTATTCAACTGCGGACGTCCGATGCTGAATCAGAAATCTGTTTTTGAATCTATTCAATAACGGACGTCCGATTCAGAATCAGATGTCCGTCTATGAACTATTCAATATCGGACGTTTAATTCAGAACGTCTGTTTTTGAATCTATTCAATGTTGGAAGTCCAATTCAGAATCAGGAATTGTTGAATAGTTCATATTGAATAGTTCATAGACGGACGTCCGTTATTGAATAGATTTAAAAACAATTTCTGATTCTGAATTGAACGTCCGATATTGAATAGATTCAAAAACAGACGTCTGATTCTGAATTGAACGTCCGATATTGAATAGTTCATAGACGGACATCTGATTCTGAATCGGACATCCGTTATTGAATAGATTCAAAAACAGATTTCTAATTCAGCATCGGACGTCCGATATTGAATAGATTCATAAACGGATGTTCGATTCAATTCAATAACGAATAGGTTAAATTAACAATTAACAACAATTAACAAATAATCATTTATCCTCAAAATTCAAGAATGATTATGCTCAAATTCTAACGCTAATCGGATATAGAACCCGAATGTTTAGGCAAAAATTTGCATTTAGATTTATAGATGATTAAGCATCCCATTCTTAACGCATTAGAAAAACTACAGTACTTCAGGGTAAAAGTCAAAATCAGTAGCTCAAGTCAAATCAGTAGCTCAAGATTCTTACTTCGACGCATAGCTTGCAATTAAGATGTGACAATGAGGGTTAGTTAGACTAAGACTAAGACAATGAGGGTTAGTTAGACTTGCAAAAGACTAAGTTACCAAGTTTACGTTACCTTTTTCTCAGCAATCAAAAGAATTATTGAAAACTGAAAACCTTAGTTATGCAGTTGCCCTAAAATCATTTACCCACCATCTTGTCGTATCTGACATTTCTTCCTAGGCTGAGGAATCTGGGCGACTTTAGTAGAGCCAGTCATAGTCTATAAAAGTCTATCAGAAGAATGAATAGATCAAAATCAAAGAATAGATAATCTATAAAACAATTAAATCCAAATAAATCCAAATAAACTTTAAACTTTCGACTAAGAAGGAAATCTTCAAATGAATGATTCAAATGATGGCCTACTTTAGAGATTTAAGACTCTTAAACTCTTTGTCACCCAAGTGACGCTCTTGAGAAATCGCGTGTGTTTTGGAAAGCTCATTTTTTCTGGAGTTTTTGATGAGATTGCAATGATGAATCGCGAATGACGATGAGTCTCAAAGTTTATAGATATTTTGGTGTTTGAGAAAGCTATGAAATCAGGTGAATATCTGAGATTTTTTAAATCTCACGTCTCAAAGTTGGAAATTTCCCGTTTTTTAAAATCCTATGGTTTCCCGGAACACTGAGTTTATTCGTTCAAAAGCGTAAGCTGTAGCGTAAGCTGTCGCGTAAGCTGTAGCGTAAGATGTAGCATAAGCTGTAGCGTAAGCTGTAGCATAAGCTGTAGCATAAGCTGTAGCATAAGCTGTAGCATAAGCTGTAGCGTAAGATGTAGCGTAAGCTGTAAGCTACTGCAACCGAGCTATGTCTTAGAAAGAACTACATTAACTCAAGTGTTTAAGTGCAAGACATGAAAAGATAAAACGGTGAAAAGATCTAGGTTGAGCACCGGTTCTAAAGTCCGTTCTAAAGCTTCCCCTGATTACCGTAACTTGAATCGTAACCTTTACATCGTAGCTCTATCTTTACACCTCTTCATTACCTGTTTTAATTCTTACAACTGGGTTACGGCAGCCTTGGGCAGAGCGAAAAGTTCCCTAACCTATTAGCAAAAGGTTACGGTAACTTTTAGTCAACAATTTGTAGCTGTTCTGTTCTGTAGCTGTTCTGTTCTGTAGCTGTTCAATATTTAGACTTTATCCTGGAATCCAATGAAGATCATCAACTCACCAGCTCGCTTCTGTGCTCCCACACCCACATAGGGCATCTTGGGATCCTTGACACCCTTACTCTAAAAAAATTGCTTAACAAACGAAGAATTGTTTGACAATTCAAGGCTAACACTTACAATGGAATGCATTAGCAAGAGTTAAATAGAAATAAATAAAGGAAAAATTGTTGTTTTTGAATCAATCGCTTCTAAATGTTATCAGAAAGCGTTGAAGTGATGGTCAGCGATAGGCTTTTTCCCATCTTTTCAAGACTCACAGGTCAACACTGATAAAGCTTTATGGCTGATTGAAATGAAAATTTTGGAATTAGGAAAGTAAACGAAAAACTTTTAACCGAAATTTAATTCAAGGAGGAAAAAGGGCATTTGATTGAATCAAAATGATAGATTTCAAATGAAAATTGGTATTTTTTGAGCTTCAAACTCAAATTCTGATGTTTTCGTTGACTAGCTTTGGCTAAAAAGCTAAAAAGCTCATCGCTTTCAAAAAAGTAATGCAAAATTAATGCCATTTTTTTGGGAAAGGAAAGGGAAAGGAAAACCCCTTCCTAAAAATTGAATCTTAAATGAAGATTTGAAATCATTTTTAAAGATGATTCAAATGAAAATGAAAATAGATTCAAGTGTGGATTTGATTGTGCAAATTTTGTGGATTTGAAATTGGGTGAAATTGGTGGAAATAAGGCAAAGAATGACGGGAATTGTCCTCATCTTTTTCATTCTCATTTCTCTTCCATTTTTCCCCCTTTCAAACAGCTGTCCTCATCCATTGCAATCGGACAAATCAAACAGGTACATTGTTAAACGCATCGGGCTTTGATAAAAAGCCGGCTGGCTGGTGGGAACAGAGTTTTCGGAATAAACATGAAGCTAAGCGCGAAAACTGGGTCCAGCCAGACTGGGTCCAGCCAGACTGGATCCAGCCAGAGTTGGATCCAGCCAGAGTTGGATCCAGCCAGAGTTGGATCCAGCCAGAGTTGGATCCAGCCAGAGTTGGATCCAGCCAGAGTTGGATCCAGCCAGAGTTGGATCCAGCCAGAGTTGGATCCAGCCAGAGTTGGATCCAGCCAGAGTTGGATCCAGCCAGAGTTGGATCCAGCCAGAGTTGGATCCAGCCAGAGTTGGATCCAGTTTTCGATGCTAACCACTTAGCTTGACTTTAGCTAGCTTTGTTTTAGGCTTTGTGCATCACTGGGCAAACTCATAATTCCATTCAAAGCTTAAATGTGATATCAGACTTCTGCAACACTTTCTCTTGTCATAGAAAACGGACAAATCAAAAAGATAAATTCAAACTTTAATTATTAGATCTTAACTTTAAAATCTAACAATTTATGAGTTAAAGAAGGTTTCAAGCTTTCTATAAACAACTTAAAACATCATTTTTTTCAAATAGTACAACTAGTACAACTTTGTACATTCTTTTGAACTTTTGAAGAAATGATCTTTATTGTGTGAGATTTGATTATTAGATTATTTTTGATTGAGTTGAATGAATTTGATTTAGCTAGGACCCGGCTCCTGACCGTGCTTGGTCTGGTTCGGACTAAAAACTATGCCTATAGCCGCCATGGCCGACTGACTAAGATCTCTGTATCTAACAAGGGAAGGTCAACTGGCTGAGCCGATCAAATGACATTCAACCTGTACCATTCGACGCAGAATTTCACGCTGATTTCGAATTTCCTTTCCGTTTTTGCTGAACGTTATTCTGGCAGGAGTTATAAGAGTCTAAAGTTTTGCTAAGGCTCTGAAAATATGGGTTTTTGGGTCTTATTTGGTCTTTTTGGGTCTTCTGCTTTCTCGATTTTAATAGACCGTGGTTGAGCGGTAGGGCGTCTGTGTTCGAGACCAAAGATCTTTGGTTCGAGTCCCCATTTCAGGTTTTTTTGCTCAATCGAATCGGATTAAGGGTTCAGTCTCGCCGGCTGGTTCTTTATCCCCATATATATGGGTTTTTTCTTCCCTAAATTTAGGGCTTTAGGAATTGAGTGATAGGGGTTGTGCTTGTACAGGCCCTGTCACTGTGCCCTGACTGTGCCCTGACTGTGCCCTGACTGTGCCCTGACTGTGCCCTGACTGTGCCCTGACTGTGCCCTGACTGTGCCCTGTAACTGTGCCCTGACTGTGCCCTGACTGTGCCCTGACTGTGCCCTGACTGTGCCCTGACTGTGCCCTGTAACTGTGCGACCAAAGCACCCCTGAGCGGACCCTCTTCTCAATCACTTGTCTTCAATAGCGTTGCACTTATAAATTAACCAGAAACGTTTTCTAAATCAGTTTTTCGCGAGAAATTCGAATTTTTTACTTTTAAAACCGTATCTTTTATCTAAAATTACCAAAAATGCGGAAAATAGAAGTACGGGAACTTTTGGTGCACCCTGTACAAGCACAACCCCTAGCACTCAACTCCGAAGCCCTAAATTTAAGGAAGAAAGAACCCATATATATGTGGACAAAGCACCAGCCGGCGAGACTGAACCCTTGATCCGATTCGATACGCACCCTGTATATTGTTTTTACCATATTATTCTTTTGAATAAATGTATTCTTTAATCTGCAACGAGCTCACAAATTGATTTGCTAAAGTTTAGATTTTGTAGCGTTTAGGCATGAATGATCATGAAATTTATTCTTAAATTATTCTTAAATTATTCCTGACTTCAAGCTTTAAATACAAAGTGTACCTGTAGAGGTTAAATAAAGCAATCAAAAGCAATCAAAAGCAATTCTATTCTACTCGAAAGAAAAGAGAAAGAAACCAGAAAAGTTCTTTGTACAAAAAGTGATTTAAACAATAACTTTTTTTATATTTCGATCATCAGTCTGAAGATCCCAAAAACTTTCCACAAAGCGGGCAATAGTGATCAACGTTTTTGCAAGAGTTCATACAAAATGGAGCACAAAAGCAGAGACAGCACCTGGAAATCGAAAAGTCGATAAAATCTCAGAAAAAGACGTTTAAAACGTGGAAAACGTTGAAATTCCCATAATCACTGATAAAGTTTTAGCCTTAGCTTACTTCAAAAACTATTGAGCCTATCATTTTTGAATAGAACTTACGTTAGAGCGCCAACACAGCAAGAAGAAAGCCATGTTTTCCCACCGGAACTGTACCGTATTTCAGTGGGAACAACCTGAATATGTTTATCTTTGAAAAAACAAATATTTTCTACATATTTGTCTATTCTAAATACCTGATTGCATGAAGTACATTTCCAAAAGCAAGTCTTTCTCCCCAATCGAATCTTTTTCGCTTTCTTTCCCAACAATTTCGCTTCTCTTTTTTGGGCTTTTTCCAGAGCTTTTGCTTCTTTATAGCGACGTTTCTCGTCCTGAAATTAAAAATTTAATTAACTAGGGAATGGATCTTAAGCTCAGTTCAGCAAATTAGCAATTCAGCAATTCAGCAATGGTTTAGCAATGGTTCAAGTACAAGTTTAGCACCTCAAAACAACTCTAAAATCTGTCAGCAAAGGGAAATGTTCACAAATATATTTTAAAAGCTATCCAAGAGCAAGTCTTTCTCCCCAATCGAATCTTTTTCGCTTTCTTTCCCAACAATTTCGCTTCTCTTTTTTGGGCTTTTTCCAGAGCTTTTGCCTTTTGCGCGCCGTCCTGAAATTAAAAATTTAATTAACTAGGGAATGGATCTTAAGCTCAGTTCAGCAAATTAGCAATTCAGCAATTCAGCAATGGTTTAGCAATGGTTCAGTACAAGTTTAGCACCTCAAAACAACTCTAAAATCTGTCAGCAAAGGGAAATGTTCACAAATATATTTTAAAAGCTATCCAGCTTATTATAATCTTTTTTATTAAGCATTTGCCTTTATGCTATCCCTATATTGCCTGGTTTGAACGTTATTGAGAATCTTACGCAAGCAATAACTACAAGGACAATTCGCCGGTTCACAAGAGCAAGCTTCTGATGGGTTGCACAGTGAATCTCTCGAAAGGGGCAAAAGCTCATTCCTGGATGGTTTGCTCTTAATAATGTTTTGTTGGTCAATGTGCTCCCTATGTCGCCTGATTTGAAAGTTATTGCGAATCTATGGGCTTACGTGAAGACAAAGTTACGAGGAAAAGACTTTCACACAAAAGTTGACTTATGGTTCTACAAAAATTTAGTTAACTGGGGAATGGATCTTAAGCTCAGTTCAGCAAATTAGCAATTCAGCAATTCAGCAATGGTTTAGCAATGGTTCAGTACAAGTTTAGCACCTCAAAACAACTCTAAAATCTGTCAGCAAAGGGAAATGTTCACAAATATATTTTAAAAGCTATCCAGCTTATCATAATCTTTTTTATTAAGCATTTGCCTTTATTTTCTTCTTTCTGTAACCATTTCTGTTTCTTTTTTGGAAATGAATTGGTTTTTTTACCGAAAGAGTTTCCTTACCAAATTTTATTGTTGTATAATTTTTTCGATGTAAAATTAGAAGCTTTGGAGCTGTCTGGTGATCCACAATTAGAAAACTATTCTTTTTCTAAAAGCTTCGGAGCTGTCTGGTGATCCACAACCATAAAACTATTCTTTTTCTCAAAAACTTTCTGCAGAAAGTAGTATGTCTTAAATACTATTTGAAAGCTCTAATTCTCAGCATCATTAATACATTAAAGATTTTTGACTAGAGCTAATTTTTGACCCTTACTGTCCTTCAGAATGAGCTCGCCGCAAGCACTCCACCGCGATCTACCATTTTTCGTGTTTTTAAGTCAGGAGTGTCTCGAAAAGATTGTTTTCAACTGACTAACCTTTTTTTCAACTCTTTCGGTTCATAATAAAGGTAAATGTTAACCGAGCATGTCCAAATTCATTGTTAAAACGGGTTCGCAACTTGCAGCAAAATACCATTTTGCGGCCTTGGAATTCGCGCTTTTCGGGATGACTGATTCTGCTGATTGAAGCACTTTTGGGTTGTTATTCTGGTTTTAAAATATTGAATTCAATTAATTTTGATAAAATATGTCGAAATTTGATCGTATTTCCTGTTTTTCTTGGACGAAGTTGGACGATTTTTGCTTAGTAAACCACGGAAAATGGCAGATCGTCGTGGGGAGCTCATTCCAAAGGCCAGTAAGAGTCAAAAATTAGCTCTGGTCAAAAATCTTTAATGTATTAATAATGCTGAGAACTAGAGCTTTCAAATAGTATATAAGACATACTACTTTCTATAGAAAGTTTTTGAAAAAGAATAGTTTTCTAAAAACTGGCTGCGATAATTGTGGATTACCCTGTATGTTTGGATGAAAATAAGGAGAAAGATAACAGTTTTAAAGATATTATCATTCTTCATCATTCTATCCTTATCATTCTACCATTATCATCTACCATTATCATCATTCTAGCATCATCTATCATTCTAGCATCTTATCAAGCTTACCTCTTTATTTACCAGAATCGGTCTCGTTTCCGGGATTTGTGTGGTGTAATGGACTTCTTCGACTTCAATCGGTCGAAACGATTTCCTGCCAGGCACATGTGGACTTCCATCGAGTTGCTCGATTATCGTTGGGTAAATCTGCAAAATAGTGAACAGTGAAATAGAATGATTTGATAGATAAACTATTGAAAACTTTGTAACTTCAAAGCTTCAAATCCAACTCCAACAAAGCTTCAAATCAAAGCTGTTCAAAGCAAAGTAAACCAACTGTTTTTTTAGTTAAATGAATTTTACGAAACAAACTTTTAGCTTAACAAATTTTAAGTTCAATGAAAAGAAAAGTTGAAAAACTAGCTGAGAAATCATTTACAATATATTTAAAATTAAATACTGAAAGCCGGTTTCACTAAAGACAGTTGGTTGGCCAATCTGGCCATTCCTTTTCGATACAGATTTGGTTCCGTATTTCTACAGATTTGGTTCCTTTTCTCTACAGATTTTCCTTTTCTCTAAAGATTTGGATCCTTTTCTCTACAGATTTGGATCATATTCTTTACAGATTTGGTTCCTTTTCGGTACTGATTTAGTTCGTCTTCTCTACAGATTTGGTTCCTTTTCTCTAAAGATTTGGATCCTATTCTCTACAGATTTGGTTCCTTTACTCTACAGATTTGGTCCCTTTTCTCTAAAGATTTGGATCCTTTTCTCTACAGATTTTCCTTTTCTCTACAGATTTGGTCCCTTTTCTCTACAGATTTGGTTCCTTTTCTCTAAAGATTTGGTCCTATTCTCTACAGATTTGGTTCCTTTACTCTACAGATTTGGTCCTTTCTCTAAAGATTTGGTCCTTTCCTACAGATTTTCCTTTTCTCTACAGATTTGGTCCCTTTCCCAGATTTGGTCTTTTCCACAGATTTGGTCTTTCACAGATTTGGTCCCTTTTCCAGATTTGGCTTTCCCTACAGATTTGGTGTCCTTTCCACAGATTTGGTTCCTTTTCTCTACAGATTTTCCTTTTCTCTAAAGATTTGGATCCTTTTCTCTACAGATTTGGATCATATTCTTTACAGATTTGGTTCCTTTTCGGTACTGATTTAGTTCGTCTTCTCTACAGATTTGGTTCCTTTTCTCTAAAGATTTGGATCCTATTCTCTACAGATTTGGTTCCTTTACTCTACAGATTTGGTCCCTTTTCTCTACAGATTTGGTTCCTATTCTTTACAGATTTGCTTCCTTTTCTCTACAGATTTGGCTGAAACTCACTAAGGCTGAAAATATTCTAGACTCTGAAAGACCAAAAACAATTCTTTTTAAGTCAATTTTAAGTTAAAGTATAAAATTTACAAGCAAAGTTAAAAGCCCACCGGTCTAGACATCTTTGCGCAGAATGAATAAATGAAAAGATTTCAAAATATTCCCGACTTGGGAGGAAAAGAGACGGGAAATTCTCTCATCGCATTGAATGCACTTTGTGTTTTTTCTTTTTTTTCGTTTTTTCCCATTCTCTTCTCTATTTCTTCTTTCTGAGACTCCTTTTGGTAAACAGAAAATTGAGGAAGACAAAACTTGAGTCATCACAACGAAATATTGTGACTCATTCATTGAGAAATGGATTTACCTATAGTAAATCCTTTCAAATTAGATTCAATTTTTATATAAAAGTTCAATTAAGCTGTAGTTTAGTAATTAAAATGAAAATTTTTGGTTTTTCAAAACCTTTTTGAAATTCTAATCTTTTAAAACATTTTTGAAAGATTATTTTTGCCTAAAGCTTTCAGAAATCTTTTTTTTATGGTTTAAAGTCCCAGACTTTCTTGAAAAGTGCACAAGCTCGTACTTTGAAAGGGCAAAAAAAATAGGTAAACAACAAGGCACTGACGGGAGAGTGGACACGCACTGGATCAATTTGTTAATTTGAAAGTTGAGTTGAAGTGAACTGAATTTATGATTAAAGCTATAAGCTATAAGCTATTATTTTAATTAAAATTTGTTGATAATTGCAAAATCCACGGACTATGAGTGTCTGATAATTGGAAAATTTACAGGATGTGTGGCGAATAGCCACTAAAAAGTTACCTAACTCTGACAGCCTAAAAATTGGAAAATTATTGCGGAAATCCGTGCGCCTTCATTCTATTTCGCGCCTCAAATCATTAATTGTTTTGTAGCTTGTTAGCTGAATATCTTGTGCTAAAGCCTATATAAGGCAACTGTTGTTCATTTGTAGATCTCAACAAGTGCAACAAAATGAAACCAAAATCATAAAGATTGACCCACTTGGAAGAAAGTTATGGCAAGTTGGGCATTTGGTGCAAATTTGGTGCAAAGTAGCCACCCGCCCAGGTCAACAGTGAAGTCCTGGTCTGGCTTATTACAGAGTAGGCTTGGATTTCGTCCAGAAAAAGTTCCTGGATTAGTCTGATTAGGGAAGAGTGCTGTGGTGAATAGCTACTAAAATAGCTGTGGCGAATAGCCACTAAAAAGTTACCTAACTCTGACAGCCTAAAAATTGGAAAAGTATTGCGGAAATCCGTGCGCCTTCATTCTATTTCGCGCCTCAAATCATTTATTATTTTTTAGCTTGTTAGCTGAATATCTTGTGTTAAAGCCGATATAAAGCAACTGTTGTTCATTTGATGTTTTCTTTTTTGCTTTTTTTCTGCTTTCCTTTCATCGTGTGAAAGTTGTGTCTTAATTAGGACGAAATTATTTCTGTTTTTAGCGTCGCTTTTAATTCAATTGTCGATTTTGTGTGAAAATTGCTACAAGAGCACATTGCAGGCTTGGCAGCTGCTAATATTAAAAAGATATATGGGGAGGACTCACCTTCCGAAAGAACGTGTCGAGTATGGTTTGCCAAGTTTCGATCTGGGAACAAATCTTTGAAAGATGCAGAGGGAGCGGCACCCCAATTGGATGATTCCAAATTACTCGAACTCATTACCAACACGGTACTTTGCCAGAAGCTTTTAAAACTTAAGTTTAATTGAAGAGACTTTAGAATTGTAAAACTTTAGAACAAGAAACTACTGTAGCAAATTTACTAACGAAGAACAAAGTTAGATATCTAATTCTTGACCACTGTGAAGCAGCCAAATACAATAAAACATTTAAATATCTATCAGTAACAAATATCTTTCCAGTCCCTCAATATCTTTCAAGTGTAAAGTTTTAAAGGAAAACAGCTTTTTTGGGAGTTGGCCCGACGGCGTCGCAAAATCCTTTGTTAAGATGGGAAAAACCCGTGTCTTTTCGCTTCAAAACGCTTCGTGTCTTTGCCCAATTCCGACATTGTGACAGCTTATTGAAATAAGCTGTGTGAAATGATGTTGAAAAAGAAAGAAAATAAAATTTCCTAATTTGTAATTAGAAATGCTAATGAATTTTAAACTGCCAGCATTATTGTTTATTCTGAAAAGTTGGGTAACGCTGTACTTTGAACATTTAGGAATTGTTTGTTTTGAATCTTTGTTTTGTTGTTTTGTTTTGTTTATTGTTTTTTTTTTTGTTTTGTTGTTTTGTTTTGTTTGTTTATTGTTTTATTCTTTTGTTTTATTCTTTTCTTTTGTTGTTTATTGTTTTGAATCTTGTTTCATTAAAAAAATATAGCCGACATCCATCGATATCATCTCTGAACATCTCTGATAACCCCATCTTACAACAATTCGACATTTCTCAATGAAATGCATTTTCTTGTCCAATTTTTACGCTTATCTTATTGTTTAACCAATCAGACTCATTGATTTTGAGAAAAGTCGAATTGTTGTAAGATGGAGTTATCAGAGATGTTCAGAGATGATATCGATGGATGTCGGCTATATGGTCCGATGTGAGTTGCTTATCCAGGGCCGCTACAAATCCAGACTTGCTAGTCTGAGCAGGCCATATAAGGAGAAGCTTAGACCTAACTTCTAACCAGCCTGGCCTGGCTTAGTCCAAAGCAGGCCAAACCAGTATGAAATCAGGCCAGTGCTAGGTCACATCTTTGCGCACCAATGAACTAAGGTTTTTTTGAGTCACGGGTCAACTCTAACCTGGTCTTGAATCTAAGGTATTGAAGTGTCAAACTTGTAGTACAAACTCGTAGTAGAAACTTGTAGTGATGAAAATATCAATCCTTCATCTGGACTATCGCCGTATTATGGTTTCAATCAGTGCTATGCACAAGGAAATTCTGTAATGGAGATCGACACCAAACACAAGAAAATTCACGAAAATTGCTAGCGAGATTGCGGATGCTTTGGTGGGATCGATTTTGAATTCCAGTTGTCCAGATCTTAACACAAATACATTTTTATCATATGAATTGACATCAGTTTTGATTTATTCCTACATTGTTTGCTTCCATTGCCACCGTTTTTGACTACGCTAAGATCGGCGATCATTGTTCTTTTACAAAGTAAACTTTCAATTCAGATTCAAAAAAAGATTCGGCTAGATCTCAAATCAAAAAGTCACTTTGAGTTAGCTGTGAGTCGCTAGTTAGACCGCTTTCAGTCCACACGATACTCCGATAGACTTGATATGGAGAAATCGAATAGTATAACCTATCGATATAGAAACGATGATTGCTGGACCCAAAATTCACAGTTTTCACTGAAACGGATAAACCCAAATGTGACACAAATTTTCTAGGAAAGAAGCTAGTGAGCGACCGCGGTCCGGGGTCAATTCAACACCATTTCAACGATCACTTTCAACAAATAAATACTATTTTTGTCTTTTTAAAACACTATATTTTACAGTTTACAAGCTTACAAACGTGTGTTTTGTAAGGATCGATTTTTTTGAGTTTCCACGTCAAAGAACCATTTTATCAGAAGATTATGTAAAGATTTGCGTGTCTGTAAAAGAAAAGAAAAACTAGAGTAAAGCTGATCATATTCAAATTTGTTATTGAATGCAAATTACTTGAAGATTTTCAATTACTGTCTATGTTTTTATTGCCCGAGCAAATCCTTAGTCAACTTGTCCCAGCAGCTGTCACAAAATCGCACTGATCTAAAGAACGCACTGATCTAAAACAACACAAAAAAAAAACACGCACCAAAAAAACGAACCAAACAAAAAAAACGCACTGATCTACAATGAAAAACTGGTTCTGGATTCTAATTGGAGCAATTGGTGCTGTTCTCTTCATTGTTCTTGTCATAGTGGCTATTGTATTGATTGTAAAAGTCCGTCGACGAAAAGTCAAACCAGTACATCCACTGAAAAGATCAACAGCCAGGTATGGTCACTTACCGATTTTCTATCACAAAACTTTAGAAAAGAGGCCAGCCAACGCTCAACAGCTCAACAGACAGCAGTTGATGCCACACGTGAAACTCAGGATATCGATGATATGGAAAGCTTGTCAGGATCACTCTATTCGGTAATCAGCTAGAAATACTTAATAGTTATGTTAAGAGGTGAACAGAAAAGCAAAAAACAAAAGTTTGTCAAGGGTCAGGTCACTTGTCTTGACGTGTGTCTGAAAAATTGGATGCCGAAAAAAAATTTATCAAGAAAGGATGCTAAAGCTTACCGCCCCCTTTAAGAAATTTTCAAAATAGAAAAACGCGCTTTTTCTAGTGCTAACCTGATTAATTTCGATCAAACACTAAAAAGACTCATAAAAACTGAGATTTGCATCTGAAGCCGAACCTCCGTGTAGGTTCAGTTCGGTTCAAAATCGATTCCAAAGTCGAACCGAACCGATGACCATGTCTACTCTCCATCCCTCTTCGACTGGAATAGATGATAATCAGTTGGGATCCGAGGTCGGGCTATATGGGGATGGCTATATGGCTATATGGCCATTGTTCAAACAGCATGGATCATCCAGTGATCTGAGGGTGATCAACCGGATCGGATCAACCGGATCGGATCAACCGGATCGGATCAACCGGATCGGATCAACCGGATCGGATCAACCGGATCGGATCAACCGGATCGGATCAACCGGATTACTTGGTCCTATCCATGCGAACATGTTGGTGAACATTCCCCTGGAATAGCAAGCAGTTTTCCTAGAACATTGGATTGCTAAACCTTTTGATTGCTAACATTGGATTGCTAACATTGGATTGCTAGCATTGGATTGTTAACATTGGATTGCTAACATTGGATCGCTAAACCTTTTGACCACTAATGATTCAATCAATTCATAACCCTAACTCTTCCTTTTAGCCTCAACCTTGGAAAAGCCGGCGAATCCAAATACGAAAAATAGTCGATGGAAAAGTGGAGAAGGGAGAACCTGAGTAAAATCTGTATTTAAAGCAAATTTTAGAAACTATTTCAGAACACCAAAATGGAACATTTCTGATCCTTGGCAGATTGATCCATCAGATTTGAGAATATCGTCAAGAATCGGAAGAGGAGACTCATCTGAAGTCTTTTTTGGAGAATTCTCTGAAAAGCTACCGTTACTAAAGATCAATTCTAGCCTTGAGGTAAAATGGGTTTCGTTTTTTCACTCATCAAAACTTTAGAACAAATTCGAGCTGATCAACAACATCTACCAAGTAGCTGTAAAAATGCCGGTTGATTCAGCGAAAAAGTGAGTCCAACGTCCAAAAGTCCAGCGATTCCACTAAAAATCCATTTTAGCAAGGCTTTTCTCAAGGAAATCGAGTTTATGAAAGAGATTGGTTATCACGAAAATCTGCTGTCAATGGTTGGATGTTCGTCTGAGCCTAAATCGTTGATGATTCTCACTGAGTTTTGTGGACAAGGGAATCTACAAAAGTTGCTTCGCGGATCTGATAAGGTTTGGCAAGTTTTGACTTGCTGCTTTGGCTTTAACTATGGCTTATTGAGTTATTGAAGTTGCTATTGAATTATTGAAGTTGCTATTGAATTATTGACGTTGCTATTGAATTATTGAAGGTTATTGAATTATTGAAAGTGATTTTTGAGTATGTTTCTTGTAGCCAAGCCTATTTTCTAAGTGATTGGTGCTTCTATTAGGTTGTTCGGATATAAACAAACCTTGCTAAACTTATTGTTGTGAGAGAAGCTTTTAAAACATGTCTTTCTGTATTTAAAAGTACATTATCTTGTGTACATTTGGAATCTTTTTAAACGGATAATTTTTTATTTTGAAGATCTTTTTTCTTGCTTTAGATGACCGACTTCAAATATGTCAAGTTCGCGTCTACTTTACTTATCAATAAGCCTACTTTACGACTTCAAACTGGGCAAAACAGTCGCGGAATCCCATCGAGGAATCCCATTTGGTCAAAGCATTTGGGAATGATGTATTGTTCGAAAGCCGATGCCGAGCCTGGTTCCAACGCTTTCGGAATGGTGATGAAAGTCTCGAGGATCATGAACACTCTCATCGACCTCAGGCAGTAGACAACGATACTTTGAGGGCTGCAATCGAATCGGATCCATGTCAAACGACGCGTGAACTTTCTCAACAGTTTCCATGTTCAAATTCTACCATTGATGAGCATCTCCACGCCATTGGAAAGGCGATCAGATGCGGGAAATGGCTTCCTCACGAGTTAAGCAGTGCAAACGCTCGCTTATACTCGAACAACCTAATAGAATCTTTCCATGACTCTTACAAAGTTGAGAGTCGCTATACGCCTGGCGAAAAACCTAATTTAAGGCTTGATAATCGTTTTTTTTTCTTAAAATCTTACAGATTCCTTATGTTTTTTCAATAAATAAGCTCAAATGAAGAAAAAAAACGATAATTTCTTTTCAAAAAAAAGATGTCATCGGATTTCTCTCTAATTTTTGACTCACTAATCACATTTTGTTAGGAAGATGTAGTTTAATCAAATCTGACGACAGAAAATTGAATTTCTATGAAATATTTGATTGGTTTAATCTTTTTTTGTCTTAAACGTGATCATATTCATTATAAAACTTTGAAAATGGTTCTCAAAAACCTTAATTTTCGTCTTTCGCCAGTTGTACTTCGACTTTGAACTTTGTAAGGTCAGCTAAAGATTCTAGAAGCACCAATTAGTTAGAAAATAGGCTTGGCTACAGGAGACATACTCAAAAATCACCTCCAATAATTACATACGGATTCATTAACTTCTTGCTGAGCTAGATTCTCAGAAGTGCGAGCTCTCAGAATGGCTGGCCTTGGTTTTTAGCGATCATTTTAGCAAAGTCGGGAATTCATGATTCTGAAGCTTCATTTTATGACGATTGCCAGGCAAATCGCTGATGCTTTGGTGAGAGCTTGGAAAACTTTTAATGTAAAATTAACGTAATTTCAAGGCTTATTTGGTCACCAAGAAAATCGTGCACCGAGATGTTGCCGCAAGGAACGTCCTGCTCACAAAGAAAAAGAAGCCAAAGGTTTGACGCTTAACTATTTGGTAATTAGCGTTATTCAAAGAGTTCTCTACTTGAATCATCCATTTTGCTCAGTCATCGAAGCGTGGAAGTTGACTATTATGGCTGTCATGGTAACTGTCAGCTAACTGTCATGATAACTGTCAGCTAACTGTCATGATAACTGTCACAACGCACTAACCAGATAGCCAGCACTCGCTAACTGTCAGATAGCGCGCTAACGTCGCTAACGTCATGATAACTGTCAGCTAACTGTCAGCTAACTGTCATGATAGCTGTCAGCTAACTGTCATCATAACTGTCATGATAACTGTCAGCTAACTGTCAGCTAATTGTCCTGATAACAATTTGTACTACAATACCAAGTCTAATTCTAAGGTTCATTCCAAAAACCTTGGCATGGATTTGATCAAGGTAAAGTCTAATCTAGAAATTTGCTAGATTTTCTAGATTTTTCTCATCTTTGAATCAATTTCTTTAGCTTTGCGATTTCGGGATGAGTCGTCACATCGATGATTTCACTGTGAGAGAAAATGAGCGTTTACCCCTTCAATGGATAGCTCCCGAAGTGCTCGAGTTCGGAGTTTTCAGCGAAAAATCTGATGTGTAAGTGGAAACTTCTTACTAAAGGCATTTCTTACTAATTTCTAGCTGGTCCTTTGGCATTTTGTTATGGGAAATGTACACAATTGGTGGTCAGCCACATGCGGGAGTTGAAGAGACGAAGCTTGCTCACTTGATCATTAAGGGAAATGTGGCTTTGGAAATACCAGAGGATACACCAGAGATGATGTAAGATTTGAAATTGAAATTGAAATTGAAAGAAAGCTAAGTGGGCATTAATGGAATACTTACTTACATTATTTTACAAGTTTACAATCAAAACTAACAATTTCCTAGGCATCAACTAATGCTTACTTGTTGGAAGCCGTCTAGCAAAGAACGACCAACATTTGAAGCAATTGCGCAGATTCTATCGTCAAGTTCGGCTCCAGAAAAGTTGCTATCTCATTTTTAATGTGTATAAATTCTTGTTTATGATTCAATAAAGCTTTGGAACAAATCAGATTGGCAAAGTGTTACAGGATTTGTCTCAAAACGGGTTCACTTCAAGAGTTTTTACGAATCTTGCAATAACAAGTCAAGGTCAAGAAAAACGGATTGGAAAAACAGACATAAAAACAGATTGACACCATATATAATTGAGGGCTGTCTGTCTGTCCGTCCGTCCGTCCGTCTGTCCGTCCGTCTGTCCGTCTGTCCGTCTGTCTGTCCGTCTGTCCGTCTGTCTGTCCGTCTGTCTGTCTGTCCGTCTGTCCGTCTGTCCGTCTGTCCGTCTGTCCGTCTGTCCGTCTGTCCGTCTGTCCGTCTGTCCGTCTGTCCGTCTGTCTGTCTGTCTGTCCGTACGCAACTTTCATCTCGAGAACCAGAGAAGCTAGAGCTCCAAAAACAACACCCTTATAGGTTTTCGAGGTCGCGGAGTTTCCCGTTGAGGTCAGATTTTTTCTACGCGCAACGGAAACAGTAGTATTGCGTACTCCGACCCTAAATCCCAGCCACCAGTGTGTCAATTTTCATGGTTAATGTATCATTTTGTAGGAAATGTAAAACTAGAATAATTTTGATGGGTGCCATAGGACAATTTTTCCGTTCGGTCGCGGTTCGACCCCCGTAATGCCACTCAATTTCGACTTTTTCAATTTATTTTAAATGCCACAACTATTTTTTGAGACTTAAAAACTAACTTTTTTGACCCAAAGACGGCTGAGTTTCCTTCCAGCGCACTACAATACTTTTTTGGAGAGCTAGGTGGCTCTGATCAGGATGGTTTAATTGTAAAAATGCTGCCCAGGAATTTCAGCTTCAAAATATTAGATAGTAAGTCAAATTTCGATCTGGGGTTTAGCTGAAAAATCGAGCGCCTTTTGTAAAGTGTACGGGAAATTTTTGATCATTGTACTCTTGCAACTTTCAACTTGACATTGTAACATTGTAACTTTCAACTGGACACTTCAATTAAACCAGAAACTCTCACTTTTCATCTCAGATTGATTTTATCAAACTTTTTGTGTGTTTTGAATTCGAATATCGATTCAAATTCATAGACAAGTTTTTTTACTTCCTCTTTTCTGTCATTGTTGAAGTATTAGGCGTTGAGCCATGTTATCGCCAAAGAGAAATGCAGACAGCAATCAGAAAAGAGTTCTTTTCTCAAATTTCAAAATAATAAATTAAAAAATGCACTTTATTTTATTGTTATTGACAGGTAATTGCTTGAAAAGGTGATCAGTTTTTGCTTAAAAAGGTGATCAGCTTTAGTTTTGATTGTTGAGAGTCGTGAGATTTTTTTGAGCATTGATCATCCCGGAGAGACGCTGCATGGCAAAGAGTTGAATTTAGCTGTTGAGGTATGGACTTGACTTTGAGACACTAATTGTAAGCCGAGACTAGCTGAGCCTTAATCAAAACACTATTATTTAATATTTCTTTTGCTTTAAAGATTGGTATTTTACCGTAAATACTCTAATAAGACTCTAATAAAACTCCAAAAAGTCGCGTAATCTAACTTCTTTTTCGAATCACTTTTTCTCAGCTCCTAGAATGTTTTCAGCTACACTTTTGTTACTAAAAAATACTAGATTTTAAGGGTTATCATTTTAAACCAAAGACCAAACTGTAGCATAGAGCGGCACCGAGAACGAGACTTTTAAAGTTCGACTACGCGATTGTACGCCCGTCATTACGGCATTGGCGTTTTATTAGTGTAAGAAGTTCAAAACAGAAGAGTAAAACTACAAAATTTACATCTATAAACGAGTTTTTCATTAAGAAATCTCGATTATAGACTACAATCAAGATCAATGTGACTGATGGATCGAAAAAGAAAGTGGCTGTAAGATGGAGCTCTCCCTATGGTAATGATACCGGATGTCGCCCCTTTGGCTCATTGTGAGTTTCGGGTTCAAGCCAGGACTGGTTCTGGCTTTGATCCTGGGATGCCAGGATCAATTTGGATTGATCTTGATTTGGCAAGACTGATCTAGTCTGGTTGCGGGTTATAAAATTGCCTGGACTAGCCAAGACCTGAGCCAGTCAGCAACCAGTCAGCTAGGCAATTTCATATTTGGTTTTGGCTTTGATTAGGCTATCACAGAGTCATTGGGCCAATCATTGGGCCAATTATTGAGCCAATCCTTGGACCAGCCATTGGGCCAATCATTGGGCCAATTATTGAACCAATCCTTGGACCAGCCATTGGGCCAATCATTGGGCCAATTATTGAACCAACCTTGGACCAATTATTGAACCAATCCTTGGACCAGCCATTGGGCCAATCATTGGGCCAATTATTGAACCAATCCTTGGACCAGCCATTGGGCCAATCATTGGGCCAATTATTGAGCCAATCCTTGGACCAGCCATTGGGCCAATCATTGGGCCAATTATTGAATCAATCATTAGCTCATTTTCTCTTTCAGTGATAATAATTTTGAACCTCCGAGTGGTCAATCGCCAAATTACGCTTTTGGACAGTGTTTTATGGAGGGTGATTCTGGTATGGAGATCGATCTGACGAAATCTCATTTTGCTGACATTCCTTTATTTTCTTTCAGTGCAACGGTTTTCGATTATGTGAAGATTATCGGTAGTTCTTATTCTTTTAAAAAATAAAATTGAATTCAGATTCACAAGCAGATTCGGACTTGATTGAATTTATGACGGTTCCCGTTGAAAAACTCGATGCTGATCAATATGCAAAATATGTAATAGGAGGCTCCTCTGATGATTCTTACGCTTATTTTGTCACTGTGGCTCCGCCTGGGGAAACGATCTTCACAAAGAGTTTAACTAACGTTTGAGAAACGCTCGTTTTTCTTGAGAGAAAAGTTTTAGGACAGAAGAACTCATATTAATTGCGTGGTTGATGTATTCACTGGGAATATCCCCGCATTCGGCGATAACACGAATTTGTTGTACTGCAGAACGTAGGGAACTGAACTGATTTCCAATAAAAGCTTTGTAAACACATCGTTAAAACTTTTGTATCTGTGTGAAGCTGGTTTAGGCTTAACTTCTTGTTAATCTACTATATATAAAGAGGCTGTCTGTCTGTTCGTCTCTCTGTCACTACTCCTCAGCCCCTGGAGGACCGTTTGCAATGATTTCTGCACCGTTGAATAGGGAATTACATGTAGTTGTGCAATGTGCTCTTGGGTTTTTTAAAAAGCACAATTTGAGTCGTACGGGGAGGTCGAACCCGGATCGTATGAGCGATAGACCGGCGCGCTATTCACTGCTCCAAGGCGACAAAAGCCGTCCATTCCCAAAACATCCAGAAAATCCACCGTTAGGCGGGTTTCTCGGCTGGTATGGAAATAAGATATTTGCCAGATCCACGCAAAGATAATAATATAAAGTAAGGAATGGCAAAGAAAGATTTCCGGAGAGGGGATTGAACTCTCGACTTTTCTCTCGAGGCAGATGTACTAACCATTAAGCTTTCCAATATCTTCTTGTCAGGGAAGAAAGAGGAAATACAAGGGAGAGGAGAAAAGAAGAAACTTAGGTCTAGCTTTTTACAGATGAATCCAGAACCAGGCCCAGCTTGTTGCTAACGCTAAGAAGCGAAGTCCAGACTTGGCTTTCTGCTTACGCAGATATAAAAAGCCGCAGAAAGTCCAGGCTTTGGCCCAGTTTCACATTCTCATATAGTGACTAGCAACTAGCTAACTTACTGCTGACTTACTGCTGACAACTAGCTAACTTACTGCTGACTTGACTAGGTCCAGATCTAGCAATCCTGGCTCAGATCCACGACCCCATTCTTGCTGACGTAGATACGTTCGTAATTAATTTTGGTATCTGGCTGATCCAGCCCAATTTGACATCAAATGCTCATCCTTGCTAGCGATTTAGCCACCATTTTAGAAGCAACGACACCGCGCCAATGGATTTGAACTGGCGAACACGAATGGTCACTTATCGATTTAAAAACTACGAGTGCTGGGCTCAAATTATTCATCGTGCTTTCATGGCGGCTGAAGATACTCCGGAATGCAATATAGCCATACCAACGACAGTTCCTTATATAACACTACTTGTCAATGAAGATTATCCGAAATCATCGAAGAAGACGATCGCTGAATCGAGATGTTTCGTGTATGATGGTTGGTCTGGTACTTTAGCTCAATGATTTCCAGTTCATTTTCCGGATTTTGTTTCAAACAATAGTTGAAGTTAAACCAAATTTCAAAGCTAAACAGAACAAAAGCCTCAACAAAAGCCAAAAGCCTTGTCTCTTTCAGCCTCTGATCAACCGCGGATCTCTGTATATTTGGATAAGATTGTAGGTGGAGTTCTGGACATTACTTTTACCAATTCTTACTTTGGATACACTAAACAGAAGCGGTAAGTTCAGAATTGTAAACTGAGATTTTCGGTTTTAAAGAATTGATTCACGTGACGTCGATGGGAGCTTGGCTTTTTGTCAAATCCGAGCCACTCAAATTTCGGTGAGTTGCTTTCGAATAGAGTTCTAAAAAAGCACCAATTATGAACTCAGAAGAAGTCAGAATTCACTCAGAAGTCAGAATTCTTTGCCTCAAAAGTCAGAATTCATTGAATTTCACTTTCTTTAGTACACCTGGATCCCATCAGATGACCTCAATGAAACCAGTTTGATTTTGGCGAGAATTCGAGCCAATTACGACAATCAAACGATTTCTGATTGCCCTTTTGAGCCTATTGACTATGCGAAAGATTTCAGAAAACCAAAAATTAGCAAACTGCTTTGGGCGGCTATCATCATTACTGGGATTATTATCGTCATTATCCTTGGAATCTTGTTCTATTGCTTGGCTTTCTATAGGATTGTTAGGTAAGAGTGCTTTTTCGGCTCTAAGCCAGCTCTAAGTAGCTCTAAGTAGCTAGTTATTAAAGGCTTAATAAGATGAGCTGATAAAGCAAATGATGCCAATAATTTAGAAAGTCTAAAGCTAGAAGTGTTTCAAATGCAAAACAAGATCCAGAATGCTTCAGAAAAGCTCATTTACATCTTTAGCTAGTGTTGTATTGCTCTTGGACTTTTAAAACAAACCAAAGCCATAATAACTTTTTTTAAGTTGAATTTTGATTATTCAACTCAATTTAGATGGTTGCGATATCTCATTTTGCGAAAAAAATTCGCCGAAGATTCCGTCAAGCATAAGAGAAATCAAATCTCTGTTTACAAGTCAGAAACAAGGGCTTCAAGGAATGAACCTTCTAGGTAAAGCTTAAAGTTTACAGTAAAGCTAAAAGCTTACAGTAAAGCTTAAAGCTTACAGTAAAGCTTAAAGCTTACAGTAAAGCCTAAAGCCCACAGTGAAGCTTAAAGCTTACAGTAAAGCCTAAAGCTTACAGTAAAGCTTATATAAGTTTTACATTTACATCTACATAATATTTTTAGCAAAGACCTTTGGGAGATGGATATTACCAAGTTGTCCATTGAGAAGCGACTTGGACGAGGCGCCTTCTCGGATGTGTTTTTTGGGAAATTCTCAGCTGATCTGCCGTGTATCAAAATGTTTCCGGCTCTAAGGGTAAATTTGTTGTGATCTTTTGGAAGGATTGGACTTGGATCTGGTTAAGTAATAGGCAAGTTAAAAGACTTCTCAGAAAGTCTTTTCGTTTTTTTTAGTACTTCCGTTTAAAACAAGTAAATGCATCAATTGAACTATGGTTTGTTTCATTATAAAGGTCAATTATTTAACATTAAAACGACTTTAAAATGACTTATATCTTGGGAGCTTGAAGTCGGGTAGTCAAAAAAGGTGACGGCTCGATGGATACTCCGTTTTAGACTCGATGAACACTCAGTTTAGACACTTTTGCTAACAAAACCTATCTTCGTGCCAATAAATAAAAGATAGAGCATAAAAAGCTTGGTATATAGACAAATTTTCAGAGAAATTCAATTAGCCAATTTCTTTGTAGAGGTTAAGATAACTTTGTAATAACTTTAGCAAACTAATCAAAGATCAAACTTAAGATAAGACTTTGCTAACTGTTTGATATAAGATTTCAGATAAAGTTTACTTCTGTATACACCTAAAGCTCAAAGCCGTAATGTACGTGTTCTTTAAAGGAATTTAGTCTCAATTCCATCAATGCAACGATGCTTACGAGGTGGCTGTCAAGAAGCCACTGGGAAACACCGATGATGACAAGTTTGTACTAATCACAAGTAGTTTCCAAATTCAAACTTCCAACTCTCAACATTTTAACTAACATTCTTGGAGCTTTAGTGAGAGTTGTAGCCGTCAGAGTTGTCTTAAAAAAAGGGTAGGGTTTAAAAACCAGTTTGGAGAAGGTCTCAGTTCAAATCTTTGGCTAAATCCAAAGATTTGACTGATTAAGTTAAAGTCTAAAGCTAAAATTCATGAATCTTTGAGTCAATCCTTCAGAAACTCTTTCCTCTTGGAGATCTCGATGATGAAATCGGTTGGTTACCATCGGCACCTGCTCTCAATTGTCGGTTGTTCAACGGTGCCCGATTCTCCAATGATTCTCACAGTCTTTTGTGAACATGGAGATCTGCTGACACAAGTGCTCAAAAAGAATCCGCATATGAAAAATACGGATGTGAGCTTTTTCTCTAAAAGGTTTCATACATTTATTTAGCTTAAAAACTCGCCTTCTGCTCTGAGATCGGCTGATTTCATGTCAATCGCTTGGCAAATAGCCGATGCTTTGGTGAGTTTAGCTTATAATTCACAAACAATAAGAATTCAAAGTTCTGTTTATCAAATCTAAACATAAAAATGAAAAAGAGTATCAATATGAGCAAGTAAAGAGCTTTCAGATGTACCTATCAAGCAAGAACTTTGTTCATCGAGATGTTTGCGCAAGTAATGTGTTACTAACGAGAGACAAGGAAGCCAAGGTTCAACTACTACAACTATTAGGATGGTGCAAAGCCTGCAAGGCTTAGGCTTAGGCTTAGGCTTAGGCTTGGGCTTAGCCCAGTTTCCTGCCAATCCAGGAACTTTCATGCATGCTATGCACCTATTGTATTTCTAATAGAAACACGAGTTCTAATATTAGGGTGGTGCAAAAGAAACTGCTGATGAAAATCAGCTCTCATTTATCAGAAACGAGCAATGCTAACGGCATTATTTTTTTTATGTTTTGTTCGCATATTTGTTTGGTATTTATTTCGAAATTTGAATTTTTTGGTTGTTGTTTATTTTATTTCTAAATGCTTACATTTTTTATTTAGACCATGGTGGAGCAAAAGTTTGTGCTACGAGCAGCATTACTGTTTAACTTCAAAATTGGAAAGTCATCGTTCTCTCTGTGCTGCTTTTGGAGATGGCTGCGGAGATGGCAGTTTGTCTCTCAGGCAGTGTCAGACTTGGTTTCAACGATTCTGAGATGGAGACGAGACTTTGGAAGATTACGAGCACGGTTTGAGGCCAGAAGTCGTGAACGAAGCCAAGCCAAGGACGTTATTCAGGTCGATCCATGCGAATCTGCTCGAGATCTTGCGAAAATATTCCATTGTGATCATGTCACCATCGAACGCCATCTTCACGAAAGAAAAGTCGTTGTGGAAGATGGGTCCCTCATCAACTCAGTGATGCTAACCTCGCATCCCGCACTTCCATCACTGGCATTCTCCTGAATCGTGCAAAGAATAGCGGATTTCTTGATTCTATCGTGACATCGGATGAGAAATGGATTGTATACGACAACTTTACGCGAGAACGACAGTGGCTGAGCGCCGGCGAACGTGCTGTTCGAACCCCAAGGCCTGAAATCCACGGGAAGAAGATCTTATTGTCTGTATGGTGGAATAGCAAGGGTTTGGTGTACTTTGAATTACTGGAACATGGAAAAACGGTCACTGCGGACTTATATGCGCATCAGCTGGACAGAGTGCACAAAGCAATGGAACGCCAGGGTGCGGACATGACTTCGGTGAAGCTCTTGCATGACAATGCTAAGCCGTATGTTGCGTACAGCAGCAAATCGAAGGATTTGGATGGGAGGTCCTGCCTCACCCGCCATATTCTCTTGATATGGCTCCAAGTGATTATCACCTATTTCGCTCGATGCAGCAGTTTCTGAAGGAGAAGCAGTTCAAGAATGATGATCAGGTTCGTAACTGGGTGCTCAACTATTTTGAGTCCCAGGAGTCCCAGTTCTTCGAAGATGGCATTCGGTCTCTTCGCGTTCGATGGAGGAAAGTCATCGATGCTTGTGGTGAATATTTTGATGAATAAAGATTTCTCGCTTTGATGTTATGTTTTTTTGAATTTACCCTCAAATCGGCAGTTTCTTTTGCACTACCCAAATACAACTATTAAAGCTAAAACTAAATCTCAATTTAGTTGACTGACTTTGGAGGCAATCGAATCAACAAAGAGACATTGATTTGGGCTCGTGGTGGAAGGCTGCCAGTGAAATGGGCAGCTCCAGAAGCGATCGATCTTGGCGTGTTTACAGAGAAGACTGATGTGTAAGTTAGACTATCGGTAAACCAAGCTTTTCAAAAACTCCATTGTATAGTTGGTCCTTTGGTGTACTTCTTTGGGAGATGTACTCATTGGGAGAGTCGCCATTTGATCACATCCAAGTCCGAGAGATTCTCTCGCATCTTCGACAAGGATTGCTTTTAGCGACTCCGGAGAATTGCCCGGATTTTGTGTAAGTTTAGAAAGCTTACAATTAGCTTTCCTTGCTATAAATCTTTTTATGGAATTTTGCTTAACAGCAAGTCTAGCAAGTCAGTAGTCAGCAAGAGCAAGTCAGCAAGAGCAAGAGCAAGTCAGCAAGAGCAAGTCAGCAAGAGCAAGAGCAAGTCATCAAGAGCCAGTCCGCAAGAGCAAGTCTAGCAAGTCAGTAACTACAAGCAATTCCCGTCTCATAAGTAACAACTTCATAAGTAACAACGATACTAGAAATGAACGCAATGTTTGCCTGAATTGAAACTTACACAGAATCTAAAGTATTCTTAGGTAAAAGCATACTTTAAATAGGAGTAACATACATTATTTTATCTTGAAGGCTAACTTGTAGGCGAACGATTTGGTAAGCTCATCCTAACACTTTCACAGTCTATTCTTTAGATTTCTAGGGTAATAAACTAATTGCAAGAATTCTAAAGTCTTTCTTTATCTTTATACCAGCAAAAAACGCTCACTAACATCCGCGTTTTTCACTGCGGAAATCCATGTTTTCCACGCAATCTAAGCGCCGTCCCTTTTTTGTCAATGCCTGTGCACAGATGGACAGACGGACAGACGTCTTTTCTGCTTTATATATAGTAGATTCTAGTTTATTGCAAACATAGTCTACTTTATACATTACCAGTAAAAGCTTAAATCACTTGAGCCTGAGTCTTGTAGTCTCTAATAGGCCATTAAACCTTTGTTCTCCAGTCAGATGATTGATCAATGATCTATCTATCTATATTTCTATTTTTTAACTTTCTCCGGTGAATTAGAATAGAATTAAGATTTCAGAATATGAGTCAAATAAACACCATTCTATTCCATCAAGAATGTTTCATCAGGTTCCATCAAATTGGATACTATTCGGTTCGTAATCGAGAGGCTTTTGCAGAGAAATTCTCGTAATAATGCTTAAAATGGTAATTGTTATATTGATCAATCATCTAGCTGGAGAACAAAGATTTCATTTTTGTGTTTCTATAGTATAGTAGACTCTAGTTTAATACAAACATAGTCTACTTTATACATCCAGTATAATTTATATGCCGTAGCCGACTATGAATGAGTGGGTCTAGGAGCGTCCAACCATCAAGTATTTAGTATCATTCAACGCAGAATCATTGATAATTATGTTAAATTTTTGAAATTAGAAAGATTGGATAAAAAGAACACAAATTATGGGGCTTCAAAGTTTTCTCTTGAACAAACAGTTTTTTTGCTCTAATTTTTTTTTCTTTTCATCAAGTCTTGCTAATTTAAAAAATTTAACATAATTACCAATGATTCTGCGTTGAATGATACTAAATACTTGATGGTTGGACGCTCCTAGACCCACTCATTCATAATCGGCTACGGGGGTCCCGCCGATTTTGAATGAAACGTTGTAGCGCCAACAATTTTTAACCTAAACTCACAAATTTGGTACCAATCGTCGCAGAATTCAATTCGCTACAAGATGATATAATATTGTCCTCATACATTAAAGGGTTGCTCTACTAGAAAGATTTGCCAAAAAATTTCATTCATAATCGGCTACGACATATACATCCAGTAAAAGCTTAGATCACTTGAGCCTGAGTCTGTAGCCTCTAATCGGCTCAAAACAAGTGAAAACCTCTGCAAGTTAACTCTTTCTAGGTTTTTGAGTCCAATTTTTGAGGTTTAAGGTTTTATTTGAGGTTTTATGCATTTCCAGCAAAAACTTGATGCACTCGTGCTGGCAATTGCGACCACAAGAGCGACCTTCGTTCACTGTGCTCGCATCGCTCATCGAAACCAAATTACCGTCCGGACAACGTATGATCCAGGAAATCGAATTTTCTTGAATATTCTTGATTTTCAATGTATTTATTTTTGTTTTGTACCGGTCTTTACACTTTATTTACTTTCTTGAAATCAATTTTCGTCTAAACTTGGGGAATCGCTTCTGATATTGACGGAATTGTGCAAATTGGTGGATTCATGTTTTTATTTGAATAAACCTTTCAATTGGATCAATTCCAGAATTGAGTCATTTTGATACGATTTGTATGAGTAGTGAAGGTGTTTCTTTTCTTAGGATTAGGGCTAAATTTCAATCGATACTTCAATATTTTTGGGGTGACTCAGGAGATGTAAAACTTTTGATAAGAACACTTAAGATACGCACTTTTTGGCTTTCAACGAATGGATTGGTTTGGAGTTTTTGTTCTTTATAAATCCAGTGATAGTCTAAGGATGTTTTGACTGGGCTATGCTAGCCAACTCAACCCTAGCCAACCGGGCCTGCATCGTTTTCTGACTGGGCCGTAAGCCAGGTTAACTAGATCAAACCGGGCAAAGCTAGAGCCAGATTAGATTTAAGAACCAAAGCCAAAGTCGCCAAATTAGCCAAGAACTGATTCATCGTAGGCTTCAATAAAAATTCAGCTCGAATGCACCAGAAACAAAAGAAAATGAGGATCAGGGCAAGTGTAGTTGCGCCAACCACAATCTGGCCTTGTCCCATTTACTTAAGTGGCTCTTTTTTGATTCTGTAACTTCCAAGGAGTAATTAGAATTGATTGGGTTGATGTTGATCCATCCAAGAATTCTGCTCTCAGCTTCGCTTACATCTGGATACTGAATAGAATTGGTTTTCAACGTGTACTTTGTGCCCAAAGCCTCTAAAAACCCTCTCTGAGACAAAAGAGACTACAAGGTCTTGAATTTTCAGAATTCAGATTAGTTTAGATCCAAATAATCACGAAATCAAACTTCCAGATCTGTAATTGATTGGAATGGTGTCGATCCTTCCAAGAATCCTGCTTTCAACTTCGCTTACATTTGGGTGCCAGTAATATAAAGTAATACAAAGATTCTTGTGTTAGTACACTTTACTCTTGGTGATTGTTGTGAGCTCTATTTAAAAGATAAAAAGTAACCGTAATTTTGCTAACATTTCTCAGGGAAATCTCAGAGTTGTCGGTCGTGATTTTGAAATCTTAGTTGATCTGATTGATTGGTTGGCTGGCTGATTAGTTAAAAAAAAATATAGTTATATTTCTAAGTCATACATTCGGCAAAACTGCCTGAAATAAAGCTGATACCTAAATGTGCAATAACTGTTTAAAAGAAAAGCAAAAGGAAAAATGAATCAAACAACAGATTAGCACATTAGAATGTAATGGGTCAAGACAGGTGAAAAACAAAAAACGAAAAGAAATCAGCATAAACTTCAAAAGATTAGTTCTCAACTTGTCTGCTTTTCATTTCATTCTCTTGATCAAATTTATATCTTACATTAAACGGTACTATTTATACTTAAAGGAAATATACAAGTAAATATATATAAATATGTGAGCATTTGAAGAGTGAACCTAAAAAATCCCGTATCCATTCAGCCAAACCGATATCAATCCCTTCAAGTGGCCTCCGGCTCCATTGAGCCTCTTGCGTTTTCCGTGGACTATCTCGAGCTCGATTTCTTGTTTGATGCAGGAATGCACACATTTTCGATCAATCTTATAGAATGCAGCGGCTGCTTTGATCGAAACATTATTGCCCATCTTTGCAACAGCCAATTCCGTTTTCACATCAATGGCCTTTTTCTTTTTCTTTGTAGGTAGCTGATCCGATTCACTTAAAGATCCTTCAACTTCAGCGTTGACCGAGCTCCCATTGGCATCTTGTTTGGCTTGTTCATCACGCGGTTCTTTGAAGAATTCCCTGTGTTCTTCGTATTCGCAACGAGCCCGATATTCCTCGAATCCATCGAGCGATTTCCCATTGAGATCCATATCTGAAAAAATAGAATTAATAAAGTAAAAAGGGGGGTGGTGGCTACTCTGTGCCAAATTCTTTGCGCAACTCGCCGTAGCTTTCTTCTAATCAAACAATAGATTAGCACATTAGAATGTAATGGGTCAAGACAGGTGAAAAACAAAAAAACGAAAAGAAATCAGCATAAACTTCACAAGATTATTTCTCAACTTGTTTGCTTTCCATTTCATTCTCTTCATCGATTTTATATCTTACATTAAACGGTACTATTTATACTTAAAGGAAATATAAAGGTAAATAAATATAAATATGTGAGCATTTGAACAGTGAACCTGAACAATATGCTTTAGATAGAGAAATCAGAAAAAAAACGGCTACAACACAGAAAAAAATCATCACAAAAGCCTATTCTCAATTGCTTTCCACAACTACTTTTCATTTTCTATGGAAACGAAAATCTTCGCCGAACCGTACATTTATTTGTGTTACGATCGATTGCTTTTGGTGGTTGGCTTTCCGATTTCGATCTATACGCTTTGTGTGATCTTCTGGAAGACACCGAAAGAGATGAGGGAATATAAGAACCCGCTGCTCGCAACACAGGTTCCTTTTTTGAGAGCTCTGATAATCATCTGGGCCATCTGGGCATCTGGACCATCTGGGCCATCTGGGCATCTGGGCCATCTGGGCCATCTGGGCATCTGGACCATCTGGGCCATCTGGGCATCTGGGCCATGACCGTGTGCAGAACTGCTCCGCGAACCTTTTTCGGTCCCAGTCTCGGCTGGCCTGAAATGAAACTAAATTTTACTCACAAACTGGGAATTTAGATTTATATTTATATTTATCTTTATAAAATGGGACCTCAAAGAAATAGAAGTGGGATGTGGAAGACCGTTAAGACGTTAAAATAACGTTTTAAATTTTACTGCCAATAAAATACAGTCATGGACAAAAGTCTTTTAACGTTGGTTTTCCGAAGTTTGTTTTTCATATATCTTGGTCCAAATTCGACCAATTTGCAAAGGGTTGAAAGATTTAAAGAGCTTATAATCACTAGTTTTAGTATTAGCAAAACGATGGATTCAATGATTTATAATATGGCATGAGCTTCTTTAGGCCTGAGACTTCTTAAACAGGTTTAAAAGTGAAATTATTTTCTTACCCGTGACCCCCTTTGAATCTCCAAAAAAATCCATGTGAGAGACCGTTAAGAGTTTAAACCGCTCGACTTTGATACAACTTTTCTCTGTGTTCTTACACTTCAGTATACAAAATAAATTGTACTTTTCTATAACCAAATTTAATAAGGATAATTTTAAAACCAACCTTAAGTCGATCTGATAATTGGAAGTCGAGTTATAGGGTAAAGTAGAAAAGTGCGCTAAAGTATCATTTTGACTATAGAAAAACGGGACTTAAAAGTTTTTTTTCTTAAAAACGTTTTAAATTTTACTGCCAATAAAATATTAGTAGGTTTTAGGCTTAGATCTATCCATAGAACTCTCCAGAAGTCTAAGGGGATCTAAAGGGGGGTTTAAAGTCAAGATTTCGGGTAGATGATGTCATTCTAATAGAGCATTTACGGCATTTTTTTATAGAATCGTGTTTTAATAGGCTATATTACAGTAGTTTTTGCCTTTTATTACTAAATAACAAGTTTTATCCTTATACCAAAGGTTTCTCATAACTTTTTGAATCAAATCCGATCCAAGAAGGATGTGTTTTGTTTCTTTTGACTAGCACAGAGTATTTTTTTTGTTTAATTTCGCTTTTATTTTAGCATAAAAAACGCTTGAAGGTCGAAACACAAAATTTTTGGCGTAAACGTTTTGCTGCGCAATGTGTAGCCTATAATCCCAAAGCCTCTGGAAGCCTCTTTTCCGGAAGCATAAAATAAAAGGGCCACGTATCTAGCTGTTGGAAAAGACTTTTTGACAATTATAATCTTCTTCCAGATCTTCTCCCTGGGTCTCGATGTGACTCTTCTGTCAACTCGGCCTGAGCTGATGTTCCCGGCTTGTGCTGGTCGAATGTTCAGCATCTGGAACTGGCTTTTTGAGATAGAAGCAAAACATGCTTTTGTACGTAGCCGTTAATCTACTTCTTTAAAACTTATTCAAATTCAGGCCTGTGGTGCCTTTTTCTTGATTTGTGTCGTCTCTTCAGCCACTACTCTCTTCTTCTTAAAACTGCAAAGCTTATTGGATATGAGTAATCGTTTCAAGTAGGCTTTATGTAGGAGTATGTTAAAATCACGATGCTGGGAAATCCGGTGCAGCACCTACTGGGCCGGTGCAGCAGCACCTACTGGGCCGGTGCAGCAGCACCTACTGGGCCGGTGCAGCAGCACCTACTGGGCCGGTGCAGCAGCACCTACTGGGCCGGTGCAGCAGCACCTACTGGGCCGGTGCAGCAGCACCTACTGGGCCGGTGCAGCAGCACCTACTGGGCCGGTGCAGCAGCACCTACTGGGCCGGTGCAGCAGCACCTACTGGGCCGGTGCAGCAGCACCTACTGGGCCGGTGCAGCAGCACCTACTGGGCCGGTGCAGCACCTACTGGGCCGGTGCAGCACCTACTGGGCACCATAAAAATCTCTATATAAAAAAAACAACTCAAAAGCTCAAAGATTTTTCTTAAAAATAACTTTTATTGCCTCATAACAATTCGTAAAAACTATTTCTTTTCAAACAGATCTCCATTAGCTTTTACACAGGCGTTCAAACGTCGTGGAAAAGGGATAGGCTAATGGCTAATGGCGCAACTGGGTCTTCATGAATCAGCTGTACCATTCTTATTTTAGATTGAGCACTTTCTGGAAATCGTTATTCCTTTTACCACTTTTCACAGCGTATCCCTTTGGAGCGCTCATCATGGCCGAACTCTTTTCACTTGACAAAGGCGTCAACACGACGAATTTCCAGGAAATGATTCAGGTTTTGAGCTGCAACTATAATATTGTAGAAATCTATAAGATACAGCTCAGGTTAATGAATCTTGGGCATTAGCTTGAACTTACACAACCTATCTAGCCAGACTTTATACTTTTCAAGCTTTAGTTAAACTAATCAAACCTTAAAAGACAGCATCACCAAATCGAGCTTACAGGATCATCCCACTTTCTCTTATCTCTCGAATATCAGTGATATTTATGTGAATCGTTTTGTGCCCATCTATCCACCATATATCTCCTTAACAGTGATTCATCTAGCCGCCGTTGGAGTGTTGATTTTCACACTACATGCATTAGTAACGGTTTGTTTGATGAGAAATGTTAAAATACAGGCTAACAATAAAGTTATGTATTATATGTGCAATAGTTAGAGTTACTATAACAGTAGCAATGAAATCAGATCTATTGGGTTGGTGAATTGAAAACTGCGGGACTTTGAACTAAAATTTATTCAACATAAAATCATCAATTCATTTCAAACAATTTCCATTATTATTGACGACTTCTGCCCATTTTACAGGCAATTTGCGGATTCCTCTTTCGTAGTAGGATTTTGGTTTGTGTGTGAGACAAGTGTGAGACTCAAAAATGGAGGACTGGAGATGTCCCAGTTTGAGCATTTGAGCATTTGAGCACTTTCTTTAAAAGAAACCCATTTTGGTGTCAATAGAAAAATTGTAGAGAATCAAAAATTAGGCTTATAGCCAAATTTCCAAAGAGATACACTTAGTAGTTTCGCTTAAAATGCAAGTTTTGTTGCAAGTTTTGTTAAAATTCGTAAATTTGGCATTGCTTGAAAACCAGTTTTTGAATCGTTCTGAAAATTTGGCTATAAGCCTAATTTTTGATTCTCTACAACTTTTCCATTGACACCAAAATGGTTTCTTTTGAAAAAAGTGCTCAAACTGTCACATATGACAATAGCGGGCAGTTTTCAATTCACGAATCCAATATTTTCATTTGGGAGCCGAGTGGAGAATCAGAAACTTTTCGTAGCCCGGCCACGAAGAAAGCCAAAACTAATTGCAAGATGGTTTGGGGAGTTGAATGGAAACAATGAAAGCAAAACTATAAACTAAAGAAACCAAGTTAAAGTCGGGAAGCTAATAAAGCAGGATTTAGACCTGAATTGGACACTCTTGACAATCAACAGGCCTTATCAGTTTCTTTTACTTATTTACACTTAATCAGTAATCCGCATTTCAGATGTATATCTGTATTGGTTGGTGCCATCATATTCTCTCACATCGTTGTTTCCATATGAGTGCTAAGACGAGAAAATTGCAAAAGAAGTTCTTTGTCTCACTTTGGATACAGGTTGGTCATGCTCAGGCTCAGGCTAATAAAATAAAACCAAAAAAACATGTTGAGCAGATCTTTATCAGTAAATTCCTTTCTCTTTTCAGCATATCATTCCAACCGTTTCATTTGGGCTACCCTGGGTCTATTATTCTGCCGTAGTAGTCATCAACACGAATACAATCTTTCAAGGTGTGTCAATTAATTGTATTTCAATGTACAGCTTGCAAATTATCAAAAGACAATTAATGGAAACTCCCTAATCGTAAATTTTCGCAACGGACAATAATTTATTCATAAAATTAACAAAAAACAAATTAATTACAACAATTGTTAGTTCTCAAGATGATCACTTGCAACAACACATTTCGTTAAGCGCTTGGAAAAGTCGATTGCCTTTTGGATAGTAGTAAATCGTGCCTTAACCAAGTCACGCTTCAAAGAGTCGATTGATGTTTCGGATTTAGCACAAGCCTTTGTCTCTAGAATAAAGCAAATAGAATAATCGAATAGAATAGAGATCGGGCGAGTTCGATGGTCATTTACCAGGAGCTGACATCAACGGTGATCCAATCTGGAAAATTCTTGCCGATTCACTCTTGAGTCTCTCGTGCGCCAAATCAGTTAAACGACTGAATATTTTTAAAAGAAGCCGTATATAAGGCGGCGCTCGTGATTTTTGCGCCAATTTTTGTGCAATAATTTCCGCTCAAAAGTACGCTAGTTTTTCCTAAGGGTAAAAGAGCGCATTACTCGCATTAAAAGGGCGCATTACTCGCATTAAAAGGGCGCATTACTCGCATTAAAAGGGCGCATTACTCGCATTAAAAGGGCGCATAACTCGCATTAAAAGGGCGCATTACTCGCATTAAAAGGGCGCATTACTCGCATTAAAAGGGCGCATTACTCGCATTAAAGGGCGCTTACTCGCATTAAAAGGGCGATTACTCGCATTAAAGGGCGCATTACTCGCATTAAAGGGCGCATTACTCGCATTAAAAGGGCGCATTACTCGCATTAAAAGGGCGCATTACTCGCATTAAAAGGGCGCATTACTCGCATTAAAAGGGCGCATTACTCGCATTAAAAGGGCGCATTACTCGCATTAAAAAAACGCATTACTCGCGAGGAACACACTCTACATACAGTACTGGACAATGAAATATCATATTTGAAAAACGATCGTCACTTTCGCGCGTCTATAACTCCCTTTTCTTTGAGTTTAAACTATTAGTGTTATACATTTTCTGAAAGCTCTTTTCAAGGGCTACACAATGGTAATATTAATATTTAGAAATACGGTAAAGACAAGGGGGTTACAGACGCGCGAAAGTGGCGATCTTTTTTCAAATATGAGATTTCATTGTCCATTAGTGTACATCTTACTAAATCGAGTATAGAGATTCATAATCTGAAATCAAAATCTGCCAAATAAGTTTGCAAACGCAAAATTGAATTGAAATTTCGAAAATAAGCTTTAAAGGGCTCTTTTCAATCACGGGGTATCGGTGGCCATAGTCGGCACGGCTGAATATCTTTAAAAGTAGTCGTATATAAGGCGACGCTCGTGAGTTTTGCGCCAATTTTTTTGGCAATAATTATTGCTAAAAGCATGGGATATAGGCATTAGTGGTCTAGTGGATAGTGAGCAGCCTCCGAGTAGCATCAGAGTTCGGTCCCGCTCTTGGTTTTTCATTTTTAAGTAACTTGTTTTAGTAAGATGTGTGTGATCCGGAATCGAAAGCTCAACGGAAGCTCGTGCCTTTCCCTAGTTAGCCCTGATTCTTAGCTTTTATAAAGAATAGCGAATTATCTAATTTCTTTTCCATATACTCCGTATATGGATCGTACGTATATGAATTTCCATACTCCGTATTTCTCCGTACATATCCGTATTAGCTTTTGCACTATGTTACAAGTGCTTCTGCACATGTTTTAAGCCAATTACAAGCTTTTTCAGATCTTGGGCCTCAAAATATCAATCGTAACTTTTTCAATTCTAATTTTTAGCCTTGAACAATTTCTTTTGTGCCTTATTTTCATCGCATGGTGTCCTCGGCTCAATTTCTCTCCTTATATTAACGGAACCATATCGTCGATACACGAAGAAACTACTTCAAAACATAATTTTTACTCAGCGTATTGTCGTCGTTTCGATTCACTCGACCGCCCAAACGACGGGCGCAAATGTTCAATAAATTTCTGTCTTTCTATATTTCTATTTTTCAACTTTCTCCGGTGAATTAGAATAGAATTAAGATTTCAGAATATGAGTCAAATAGACATCATTCTATTCCATCAAGAGTTTTTCCATCAGGTTCCATCAAACTGGATACCATTCGGTTCGTAATCGCGAGGTTTTTGCAGAGAAATTCTCGTAATAATGCTTAAAATGTTAATTGTTATATTGATCAATCATCTAGCTGGAGAACAAAGGTTTCATTTTTGTGTTTCTATAGTATAGTAGACTCTAGTTTAATACAAACATAGTCTACTTTATAAATCTAGTATACTTTATACATCCATTACACTTTATACATCCAGTAAAAGCTTAGATCACTTGAGCCTGAGTCTGTAGCCTCTAATCGGCTCAAAACAAGTGAAAACCTCTGCAAGTTAATTCTTTCTAGGTTTTTGAGTCCAATTTTTGAGGTTTAAGGTTTTATTTGAGGTTTTATGCATTTCCAGCAAAAACCTGATGAACTCGTGCTGGCAATTGCGACCCCAAGAGCCACCTTCGTTCACTGTGCTCGCATCGCTGAAACCAAATTATCGTCTGGACAACTTATGATCCGGGAAATCGAATTTTCTTGAATATTCTGACTTTGAATTCCTTTTTTTTGCTTTTACCGATCTTTACACTTTATTTACACATTCAAATTTCATCCAAACTTGGGTAAACTTCGCTGTACGTTTGGGGGACCGCTTCTGATACTGATGGAATTCTGTAAATTGTTGTCATTTGTTAATAATCATTATACTTGCTAATAAACCTTTCAATTGGATCATCGAATTCCAGAATTGAGTCACTTTGATACGATTTGTATGAGTGGTGAAGGTGTTTCTTTTTGGGTTTAGGGCTAAATTTCAATCGATACTTCAATATTTTTGGGAGTGAAAGATGTAAAACTTTTGATAAGAGTACTTAAGATTGGCACTTTTTAGGCTTTCAACGAATGAATTGGTTTGGAGTTTTTGTGCTTTATAAATCCAGTGATAGTCTACGGATGTTTTGACTGGGTTATGCTAGCCAACTCAACCCTAGCCGACCGGGCCTGCATCGTTTTCTGACTGGGCCGTAAGCCAGGTTAACCAGATCAAACCGGACAAAGCTAGAGCCAGATTAGATTTAAGAACCAAAGCCAAAGCTGCCAAATTACCCAAGAACTGATTCATTGTAGGCTTCAGAGCTGGGTTTAGAGCTAAATTTCAACTTCAACTTCAATATTTTTGGGGTGAAAGGTGTAAAACTTTTGATAAGAGTACTTAAGATTGGCACTTTTTGGCTTTTAACGAATGAATTGGTTTGGAGTTTTCGTGTTTTTTTGGTCCCAGTGATAGTCTAAGAGTGTTTCAACTTGGTTTCAGGTTTCCAAGCCAGGCCCGGCCTGCAGGAGGAATATTTCACCTGCATCTTAAAATCCATAAGCCTGGCAAGGCAAAGGCAAGGCAAACCAAGGCAAGCAAAGCCAAAAGATTGTCCAAATCCTGGCTTGGAAAATTGCCTTGAGAACAACTCTGTTAACTGGAGCACTAAAGCAAGGTTGATGGTGACAAAAACCAAGAAAAGCAAGCCAAGCAACGTCAGTATCAGCGACATAAGCTATGTCAGTCCAAATTAGATTTCAAAACCAAAAACCAAACTGTCAAATTAGTTAAAGATTTTCCAAATTTTGACCAAGTTCAAAAGCCAAAATCTCAAAAAATATTTGTGATTTGTTTTGCCTCTACCAGTCAATTTAAGTTAGAAAATGAATATTTGGTGGTTAAAAATGGTTTTGGCTGTGTTTGAGCTTGAAAAGTACCCCAATGGTCGATAGCTTGGGCTTCATTTAATGACGTACCCTATAGAAGTGCGCACTTTGGAGCCCCGAAACTCGGCTTAAAACGACTTTTCCCAAGCTCTCGTTGTGTTTTTCGAAATCTACGCATAAAACTACCCCAGAAAAAGTGGTTTTGAAAAAAAAAAAGTGCCCTCCTAACTTTATTAGTACCGAGAACTTTATTAGTACTTTATTAGTACTGTCTGTCATATCTGTCAGCTATCTATCTGTCATAGACAAAAGCTATCTGTCATAGACTTCAATAAAAGCTACCCACCTCAAAATCACAGCTCGAATACACCAAAAGCAGAACAAAACGAGGATCAAGGTAAGTGCGGTCGCGCCAATCACAACCCCAACTTTCACCCATTTACTTAAGCCGTTTTTCTTTGGTTCCAATGAACAGGAGGAATCCGAATTGATTGGATTGACGTCGATCCTTCCAAGAATTCTGCTCTCAGCTTCGCTTGGATCTGGATGCCAGTAATACTGAATAGAATTGGTTTACAACGGATACTTTGTGACCAAAACCTCTAAAAACCCTTTCTGAGACAAAAGAGACTGAATTTTCTGAATTCAGATTAGTTTAGATCCAAATAATCACGAAATCGAACTTTCAGATCGATAAAAAACGAAGTTACCGTAATCTTGCTAACATTTTTCTGGCAAATCACCGTCACAGAGTTGTCAGCCGTGATTCTAAAGGCAAGACGGACTAAAGATATCGAATTTCAGTATATTTTAAACAAAAACATCTGTTGTTTCTTTTTTGCCGTTGGCAATTTAAGGTTTTTTGTCTTTTTCTCAGCACCAACCCCTCAATTTTGATTATTTTAGCTATTATTCCATGCAGAATGAAATTGTGCGTCGAATGATACTAAAATCAGCTCAAAATGTCATATCCATGCAAGGTTATGATCCAAATGGTTAAGTCTTGCCCATAATGGCTGGGGTTTAGGTTTTTGGCCAACAACTTTGTGTGGATATGACATTTTGAGCTGCTTTTAGTACCATTCGACGCACAATTTTATTCTGCGTCGAATGATAGTCAAAATAGTTAAAATCGAAGGGTTTTTGCTGAGAAATGAGGAATGAGAAATGAAATGCCGTCGATAATTCAAGGTTTTTGCGTGTTTTTTCCAGCACCAACCCTTCGATTTTGATTATTTTGACTATCATTCGACGCAGAATAAAATTACGAGTCGAGTGATACCGAAATTAACTTAAAATTTAATATCCAGGCAAAGTTGTTGGCCAAAAAGCTAAACCCCATCCATTATGGGCGGGACTTAACCTTTTGCCTCATAACTTTGCATGGAACTTATAATTTGAGTTAATTTCGGTATCACTCGACTCGTAATTTTATTCTGCGTCGAATGATAGTCAAAATAATCAAAATCGAAGGGTTGGTGCTGGCAAAAATAGGAAAAACTTTGACTTATCAACGGCAAAAAAGAAATAACGGATGTTTTTCTTAAAATATACTGAAATTCGATATCTTTAGTCCGTCCGATATCTTTAGTCGATGTTTTTTTTACAAATTTAGTATATTTAGTGGACTAGAATCTCTAGAACAAGTCTCACATTAGAAAGAAATTGTTTCAAGCCGAATATTTAGACTAGAACGGGGCAAAGGTTAATCTTTGGGGTTTCCAGTTCAGGCCAAAGCCAGGTCTAGGCTGGCTGACTGACTGGTTTATTATAGTTCAAAAATATTTGATTTAACATAGCCAGAAACCAGATCAGATCTAAATGACTTTTTAAAATAATCTTTCTTTGCCAAGACTAACACTTCACGTATCTTTCATTTACGAGATTACTTTGTGCGATTGCCCCCAAAATCGATCTCCAACGTCCCACCGATCAGTTTCTCAAGCGTGATCACCACCTTTGCCAAATTCGCTAAAATTTCCTCAAAAAATTCTCACTAATATTGGTAGTACCTTGCACAAAACATTTGCTTTCCAAGATTTGCTGTTTTGAATCAGAACTGACGATGGGGAAGGTGAACGGGGTCACTGGAATATCCCTCAATAAACAAGTATTCGCGTCGAATTCTTCGATGAAACGACGATACTCGATTTGGGCATAACATTCGCCTCCCGAGAATCGAAAAGTTATTATCGGCATTCTCCAAATCATGTCTCTTCCGGTATCGTTTTGGCTACAAATTCGGCTTTTAAGTGATAAAGTAAGTGATAAAGTAAGTAATAAAGTAAGTGATAAAGTAAGTAATAAAGTAAGTAATAAAGTAAGTGATAAAGTAAGTGATAAAGTAAGTAATCAAGTAAGTGATAAAGTAAGTAATCAAGTAAGTAATAAAGTAATTACTCATCTTATTTCCAATTACATTATATTTCTTTAAACAATGCTTGTTTTAAGTAAAATGCTTGTTTTAAGTAAAAAAAACCTACCCCAAAGTAAAAATCAGATTCGTCGAGTCGCTGAGTGAGGGCACAGTCCCCTTAAAAACTTCGATCTTACAAGTTTGCTGACTTCGTGAATCCTGTAATTGTGTGACATTAGCGATTCAATCTTAGAACTTCACTCGACGCAACGTTTTCACAAAAATCATCCCTCCAATTGGAGCCACTGCAACAAAATAGGCATAAAGCGTCGATCGTCTTGCTCCAACAATCACTCGACTGAATAACGATGCATTCATTGATTCGACTGGCAATGTTATGAGATCCGCTGGAAATGAATTGATTGCGTTAGTGCTAAACGATGTTGAAACTGGCTCTCGAGCTTTGCCAGCGCTTGAACTTGCCACTTGGGCTTGTTCTTACGAGTGAAGAATGATTAGTTCCCGTGGCCTTTTCCGATGATTATTCGATGCAGAATTTTACGCTGATTCCAATGATGTAAAAATTAGCTGCTGAAATGGTGATCACCGCCAAACTAGTAGAAAACTTGTAAGCCTCTCCTTTTAAGCCGATTTTTTAGAGCGCTTTTTATGAACTCGAAAATCTAATCAAATGCCCGGTACCCGTCGCCGACCAATTCCCAGACTCCGGTCGATCGATCGGTCTTGATCGATCTCATGCCTACTGTATATCATTGGAAAAGGCCACGAGACCCAATCATCCTTCCCTTGTTACCGCAGCCACCAAAACCCACTGTTCATCCGCAGATCGACGTACTGCGTGACTGTAACTGTGACGGCAACTAGATTCCCAGCCATTTTTCCGTCATAGAATTTCACGGGATCTCCGCTAGTATTGTGGCATTGCCCGAATAGATAGTCTGGAGAATCGCCGACTGGAGGCTTGGAACTTGTACCGCTGAAGTTCAGGATTCGAATGATTTTAGCTTTAGACAGTTTTGAACCAGGTTAGGGTAGATAGGGTAGGTCAATCCTTGTTATTTGGATCAGAGTAAGACCAGGCTGGTCCATGCCTAGCTTAGCTTTAAAAAAAGCTGAGCCAGCCACAAGTCAAGCTTGCACCTGGCTTCTAAAGTGGTTTGGCTCTGGCTATTGTTTTTTTTGAGACGCTGCTGGCTCGGGTTGACTGCTTAAGTTATTTTTAACTTAATTCTTAATGTCTTCACGAAATGTGGCTCAAGCACGTCACTAACTATCGATTAAAGTAGTCACAGTCGTCGAGAGGAGCAGCTCGTTGCATTTCATCATCAGCTCCAATCCAAATCAAAGAACTCCATCTCGACTCCAAAGTACAATTGATACAATCAACAACAGTGATTTCGTAGGACTGAAAAATGTCATTGATTTGTTTAACACATTCAGGAGGAGGTTTTTTAATTTTTGCGTAAGTTCTTTCCCTTTCAACTTGTCTAAAAACGTTCACAGGTAACTGATTTACTGAAGTTAAAGGTCAAAATGAAGAGAAATGTTTGAGAATCATTTTTCTAGAAACTGTTTGAAAAAATATTGACTTTCAAAAGAGTTATGAATCTTTGAATGCAAATTAATCCTCGGGTCATCGAAATTTCTCATGCTAAAACATTCTGGACTTTCTTTAAACTGTTTTCAGATAAATAATCTCTGAACTGATGACCCGGGGATTAATTTGCATTCAAAGATTCATAACTCCTTTCAAAGTCAATATTTTTTCAAACAGTTTCCAGATAAATGATCCCTGAACATTTCTCTTTATTTTGACCGTTAACTTCAGTAAATCAGTTACCTGTGAACGTTTTTAGATAAGTTGGAAGGGAAAGAACTTACGCAAAAATCAAAAAACCTTGTCGTGAATGTGTTAAAGGCGAAATTAACCTGCTTCATTGTTGTAACATCGCCCAGGTAAAAACTAAATGATGGATTCGATTTCGTTAGCAATTCAGCCCTGAACGATTCAGCACCTGAAAATAGAAAGAATGAAAGGTCATTGAATAAGCTTTAGTCCTGGCCTATCTGGCCCTGACTCTGACTCTTGTCTGGTCTGCTCTGGGGTTGATCTGAGCCATGGGTTCTTCGACTCAGGTTTTGCTCATATCTGATCTAACTTAGTCTACTCCGAGCCTGATTTGACTCAGTGTCTAGCCTATCTTGCCTGGTCCAATGGTTCTGTCTGGCCTGGTCCAATGGTTCTGTCTGGCCTAGTCCAATGGTTCTGTCTGGCCTGGTCCAATGGTTCTGTCTGGCCTGGTCCAATGGTTCTGTCCATGGCTTAACCTAGCTCTAGATTTTCTCAAGCTGATCAAGGCTTGGTATGCTCTGGTCTGGTTCTAGTCTGGCCTAACCCAGGTCTGGTCTCATCAGACTCTGGTCCGACCTAGCCCAAGTCGGATCTAGATCTAGGCCATTGTCTGATCTAGATCAGGCTGACCTAGCTCTGGTTTGGCTCAAGTTTGGCCTGGCTGAATGGCTTAGAATTAAAGTAGAGTTTGGCACTTTTTACTTAGTTGGTCAATTACAATTCTTCAACTCATTCTCGAACAAAAAACAAACCAATCACAAGCAAAGAAATCACGATCCATCTATTAAAATCGTTCATTGACAGCATGATACAATTTATTTTGTAAGCAGAAAGAGTACTCTTTCAAGGAACACCAATGTAACTTAGCCGATTAGGTTCCGATTCAGTTTTTGTTTTCTCTTCGCTCAACTGCAAAAATGTTGACACAATCCGCAAATCGCTGTTTCAATAGATAACCACACTGAACACGCAAATGCGCCATAATCACTTGCTGAAATCGTGAGCCTTGCCGTCACGTACTATTCTGGTTTTATTTACGACTTATGGTTAAATTCAGAGTTTGAAGAAAAGGAAAGATTCTGGGAAACAGAACTAAAGCAAAATCAAGTCTGTTTCATTGATTTTGAAGTAAAAATTGTATAATTGAATCAATTTAATGTATAGAGACACTGTAAAGTCAATCAATTACATTAATCAATTGAATTTAATCCATCGCGACTTCAGTAAACTATTCCTGAAGAGCAGTGCCAGTCAAAAATGACCATGCTTCAATGAAAACAAGCATTCTTCAACTTTTCGCTCTGATCCAAGCTCTCATATTATAGTTTTGTAACGGTCTAGGAAATGAGCTTTGCTTTCGTTGTTTCCATTCCACTCCCCAAACCATCTTACAATTAATTTTGGCTTTTATTGTGGTCGGGCTAGGAAACGTTTCGGATTCTCCACTCGGCCCCCAAATGAAAATATTGTGTTGGTGAATCGAAAACTGCCATATGTTGTTATAGGTTATTGTCATATGTCACAGTTTGAGCACTTTCTTCAAAAGAAATCCATTTTGGTGTTAATGGAGAAGTTGTAGAGAATCAAAAATCAAGCTTATATCCAAATTTTCAGAACGATTCAAAAACTGGTTTTCAAGAAATGCCAAATTTACGAATTTTCACAAAACTTGCAACAAAACCTGCATTTTAAGCGAAACTACTAAGTGTATCTTTTTGGAAATTTGGCTATAAGCCTGATTTTTGATTCTCTACAACTTTTCTATTGACACCAAAATGGATTCCTTTTGAAAAAAGTGCTCAAACTGGGACATCTCCAGTCCTCCATTTTTGAGTCTCCACTTGTCCCACACACAAACCAAGATCCTACTACGAAAGGGGAATCCGCAAATTGCCTGTAAAATGGGCAGAAGTCGTCAATAATAATGGAAATTGTTTGAAATGAATTGATGATTTTATGTTGAATAAATTTTTGGTTCAAAGTCCCGCAGTTTTCAATTCACCAACCCAATAAAAAATTGGCAAAAAGCTGACAAAAAGCTGGGACTGGGAGTTGTATTGGGAGTTGCTGGATAGCAAGACGACCGTTAACGCAATCAAATACAGTGGTCAGTTGAGAAAGGTGAATGAATCCTTGAAGAAGAATAGGCCCTCCAAGTCAAAGATCGTTTTCATCCACGACAACGCGCGCCCTCATGTTGCCAAACTGACTCGCTCTAAAATAAATAGCCTTGTTTGAGAACTTTTGGCGCATTCCCTATACAGTCCGGACCTCGCCCCTTTTGATTACTATTTATTCCGGATCATGTGTGATGAGCTTGCGGGAGAACACTTCGATTCAGAAGAAACAGTCAAAAATTGGCTTTGAGTTTTTGTTTTTGGATTCAGTTTTTGGATTCAAAACCAAAATCCTACTACGAAAGTGGAATTCGCAAATTGCCTGTAAAATGGGCAGAAGTCGCCAATAATAATGGAAATTATTTGGAATGAATTCATGGTTTTATGTTGAATAAATTTTAGTTCAAAGTCCCGCAGTCCCAATTCAAAGTCCGGCAGTTTTCAATTCACCAACCCAATAGATTTCTTTCTCATTTCAAAAAGAAACACAAAATTTAACAAAATTTAAAAAAGAAACGACGACGTGGCGCTCCCATCGACTACCTCCAAATGGCGGTGACGTCAATTGTAATGCGATGCGCGCAAAAATTATCATTGGCGACAGAGATTCAAATTTGACATGAAAACGTCTCAAAATCATTTTCTAAGGATTATTCTCTACTTCTTTTCTAAAGTATTGCTTTTGGCCTATGTTTCTGTACGGAAAACCAAGGAAACGTGAAAACAGTCATTTAAGGTAAAGATTGATCCCAAAAATTTGGGTATAATGACGCCAACAAAGAGAAAAAGCTCAGCGGCTCACCGTTTCTTCCTCTTTATGGATTCGAAAAGGGAAACATCCGAAAAGGAAAGCATTTTTGAGATTTGCTAGATGATTAAAGATTCTAGCAGTGAAAGCTTGAACCTAATTCATATTTTGAATCGACAATCCATAAACTTTATTTTAATCCATAAAAAACGAGACACTTTTTTGAAAAAGGACCTAGAAAGCATTTTAAAACAAAAAAAAAAACGAGAAAAACGAAGGAAAATCGCGAAAAGCGGCGGAAAGGCTATTGATCTGAGGGTCGCTGGTTCGACTTCCACCGGTGACAATATTTTTCAAAAATTTTTTGCTAAGATTCTGAAAATGCGTGTCTAGGGGTTATTTTTGACGCTGATCACGAAACACATGTTTTTAGCCTAGGTTTCTGCACGGAAAGCTAACGAAACGTGAAAAAAACCATTTTTTGGCTCTGCCGCCCTTTACTAAAATAGCTGTGAAAACTTTTAGAAAAGAGATATCTCAAAACGGTTTTTACCAATCGATCCGTCTTGAATTCAGCTTTCGGATGAGCTATAAAACGTCAAAATTGGACAAATTTAAGGTACTCTCCCAAAAAATCGGGAAGGACTTTTCCACCAACCCAAGACATGGACAGCTCGATAAAGTAATGAATTCTCTAAAATCCTTAAAAAGCAACCTTTCCCACCACTGAATCATTTCCCGAGTAACTTAGTAAATGTTTGCAACTGATGTTTCCCACTGTTTCCAGCTGTTTCCAGCTGTTTCTAACTGTTTCTAACTGTTTCCAAGTGTTTCCAACCGTTTCCAACCATTTCCAATTCAAGAAAACGTTTTACAAGATAGAATTGAAGAAATCTTATAAAAACTTTAAACTCTCCTACGGCCATGACCTAGAAAATCTCTAGAAAACCAGTTTTTCGTTGTTTTTCTACTGTTTAGTCCACTCACAATGGAAGATTTCACTTCATTGTTCAAACAAAGTGAAACGAAGAAAGTGTTGAGGAAAATGTAACGAATGAAACAGAGCTTATGCCGATTTTGACACGATTCAAGGCTCTTTTTACATTATAAGTGTATCATTTACAAATTTAGCTTTTTGTTTTACTCTTGCACATTTCTTGACCCATCAAACTGTACAAGTCCAAGTTTTTCAAACTTGTAAATGAGATTTCCCTTTCCTTTCCTTTCCTTTCCTTTCCTTTCCTTTCCTTTCTTCAAATGGTTGACACCATTTTCCTTTTCAAGAAAAGAGATTCATTCTCGATTTCGGAAACCATTTTTCTCACAAAACAGGAAGAGACCTCGTTTATAAAAGAAAAGAGAATAGAAAAAAAATAGGAAAATAGAAGAAGGAAGAAAAAAGACTACAAACCTAGTAGTGAAATGATCCGGAAAGCGCTTTTGACGAAGCTGCTAGGGAAATCGAAAAGTGTCAATAATGAAAGTTTTCTATTTTTGATATTCTCAAGGTTTTTGAACTCTGTTCTGCTATGAAACATTCTTGTAAACGTACCTTTGCTGGCACACAAATGTTTTTCCTTACCCGGTTCATTTCATGTTGGTAAAACATTTGTTTCAACCCTTTTGTTGGGTGCACTCTGCTTGAAATTGTAAGCACACGCTTTTGAATTCTTAGACTCATCTGGAAAGCCTCAGACTCATCTGGAAGCCTCAGACTCATCTGGAAAAGCCTCAGACTCATCTGGAAAAGCCTCAGACTCATCTGGAGCCTCAGACTCATCCGGAGGAGCCTCAGACTCATCCGGAGGAGCCTCAGACTCATCTGGAGCCTCATACTCATCTGGAGGAGCTTCAGACTCATCCGGAGGAGCCTCAGATTCATCTGGAAGCCTCAGACTCATCCGGAGGAGCCTCAGACCCATCTGGAGGAGCCTCAGACTCATCTGGAAGAGCTTCAGACTCATCTTAAACTAACATAGATTTTTTAATTGAGCAACTTGATGTATGTTTTCTGAGCAAAGCTCTGTTTGGTCACGTTTTCACGATCATTTTCACTTTATTTTCGGCCTCAAATCACTTCAATCTTTCAATCTGCATAATCTGTAATGATATTATATTCAAATATATTCACTCTTTCGATTTTTGAGTGAACTTTCTTGGACCAAAGCGTTGTACCCCTTGCTTTGATGGAGTCTCTTTTCACCTCCACTCTTGGATAAACATTTTTCTCTCGATTTTGCATATAAAATAGAAGCTTGCAGTTGTGTATATAAAACAGAAATGTTAGACTGATGTTAGACTTGAGATGCTAGCAAAAGCGCCAAATTATTTGCGCTAAATTTGAGCTTTTCAACACATTTTCCTATCAACTCTGATTGTTTATTTTTATTTTTTTTACTTTGACGCCTTTGCCGGATCTGAAACTGGCATAAAATCGATATAAAGAGTAAAAAGCCCAATCAGTGACACAAAAAATGTCTGTTTTTACGGCTATATATGTATTTAAATGTATTTTCTAATTGAAAACAGTGTGAATTAAAATAGTGAAGCAGAAAACTGAAAGAAAGTTGTTTGAAGGTTGGGGAAAAAGTGCTTTGTTACAGTGATTTTCATAAGAATAAATTGGCGCAAATGATACGCTACAAATCTTTGCTTTAAATAAAACATGGCCAAATGAAATTGGCGATTTTGGCGTAAAAACTCCAAGGATTCCTTGGAGTTTCAACATGGTGAAACTCTAAGGCTTCTTTGGAGTTTCAACACGTCGATGAAACGGTTTATATTTTGACTTCCAGCAATCGGAACGACCTACGATTGGTTTTAATTGACGCACCAGCTAGCATCTCTTAGCCTCATCAAAATTGGTTTTAATTGACGCACCGGCTTAGCCTCATCAAAATTCGGATATTACCAAGAAATCTTACTGCTAAAACTTCATTTTCAGTCTTTCAAGAGGCTGAGATGCTGAAGCTAATCTTATAATGATAAATACTCATTTAAGAAAGGAATTCTTGGAGAATCCTTGGAGCTTCGACACGTTGAAACTCTAGGATTCTTTGGAGTTTCAACACGTCGATGAAACTGTTTATATTTCGACTTCCAGCAATCGGAACGACTTACGATTGGTTTTAATTAGCGCTTTTTCATCAATTGGGTTTTAATTGGCGCTAGCATCTCTTAGCCTCATCAAAATTCATACATTACCAAGAAATCTTACTGCTAAAACTTCATTTTTCAGTCTTTCAAGAGGCTGAGATGCTGAAGCTAATATTATAATCATAAATACTCATTTTAAAAAGGAGTCCTTGGAGAATCCTTGGAGTTTCAACATGCTGAAACTCCAAGGATTCTTTGGAGTTTCAACATCTCGATGAAACTGTCGATATTTCGACTTCCAGCGATCTTTCAAGAAGCTGAGAGCTTACTTTTCAAAAGCTAATCTTATAATCATAATTACTTATTTAAAAAAGGCACTAAATTCTTGGGTTTTTTACCCTAGAGGTGAGTGACATTGGATACGGATCAGGGTCAAGCCCTTTTCAGCCTTTCCAATCTTCTTTCTTTCTTGCTAATGAAAATTGGCTTTACCTGAGAGAAATGAGAAACTCATTGGTGTCTCTAGGTCATGGTCAAGTCTTTTTTTTGAAACATTTACTGATTCTGGCTCAATGAGATTTTCTTTATGACAGATTTTGTAGATATTCTGTGTGCTATTGGGTTTTTCTTTCAGTAATTTAAGAAATGAAATGTTTAGATTCTTGCAAATTGTTAGCTTTAGAGTTAGTCGATAAATAGCTGCTGATAAATTGCTGAAACTGTTGCTTCATTCTGACCATTCTTTCTTTCTTTTTCTCTCTCTCTCTCTCTCTCTCTCTCTCTTTCTCTCTTTCTTTCTCCCTTCTTCACACCATTTTGTTCAAACAATTGAAACGAAACGAAACACTATTTTAAAACACTAAAATTCGACTTTTTCAACCTTTTTTACATCACTTTTGACTATTTTGCAATTTAGCTTTTTTAAATTTGAATTTAAACTACTTTAGCTGAAGATTTGAACTTTTAAATCATCATTTATGAAAGAACAAAATCAGATTTTTAGATGGGGCAACAAGACTTGCCAATATTCATCTTTCTACTCATCTCATCAGCTTTGGCAAGCAGTTTGCTGAAGAGAACGATACACGCTGATGGAAGTCGAGGTTTGGATTTATTAAAAAGAATCATTTTCCTTTTGAATTCATTTTATATTTATGTGACATTTGGAAAAAAAATTCGAGCAACTTTTTCGAGAAATTGGGTCACTCTTTCCGAAAAAAAATATCTAGAGTCACCGCAATTTCTTTTCCTCTTTCAGTCTTTCATTAGGCGTTTCAAGGTTAATCCAATGTGTCGCTATCTATTGAAAAATCTATCTTTGTTATTCTTAAAAGAAAATGGGAAAATATTGTTTAAAGACTTACTTCAAAAACTTCTCAGAGACAAAATTAGACGAGAAATTAGACAAAATCAGAGAAAAACAAAGATTTTAATAGATTCTTTTCCAGATTTCAGCTAAAAACTAATAGATTCTTTTTTAGATTTCACCATTGTCAAGCACATCAAACAGAACACGTGCAGTTGTAGTTGTAAATGTGTTCCCGATGCAATTGCTGAGCAATGGTTGTCGGATAGAAAGAAACCGATAAATCAGGTTAGTTCAAGCAAGAAAAAACACATTTGTAAAAGATAATTCTAACAAAATAAACAAAAAATCTGTACTAGTACGAGATTTAATTTAAAATCACTTTACATTTGTCAAGAAGGCTCTTTTACTGGCAATGAGCTTGGCTTGAACAATTTAACTTGGATGCTAGCTCTTGTTAAGGTTCTTGATCAGTTTTAGAAGTTCAGCAGAGGTTTTAGAAGTTCAGCAGAGTTTCTAGAAGTTCAGCAGAGGTTTTAGAAGTTCAGCAGAGTTTCTAGAAGTTCAGCAGAGGTTTTAGAAGTTCAGCAGAGGTTTTAGAAGTTCAGCAGAGGTTTTAGAAGTTAAAAGTTAGAAGTTAGAAGTTCTTGAGTTTGTTTCCAAGTATTCTCGAACCCTAATAGTCTAAAAAAGCCATTGCAGGTTGTCGACGAATCCCCAGCTTCTTCAGCGGTTCTTGAAGCTATTTTGGGTCCAACAACAAAAGATGATTTGACAAGAGCTCACAATGATGAACTAGCGATTGCTGAACACTTTGCACCAACAATAAATCCTGAAACAACCACTGGAACAAGTACTGAACCAACGACTACGACTCCAGAACCAAGCACAATAATTGTCACTACAGAAGAACCCAAGTCCGCCTCGCAAAGCCCAGAAGTTGGATGGTCAGATGATGAGACGAGGAACTCTTTGAAGCACTTGAATCAAGAAGTTGATTCTTCAAGCAAGGATAATACCACTCCAGTTACAACGTTGAAAGTTCAAATTCATCAAGCTGAAGGGTCAACTGAAGGCATTTCAAAAGCAACATCTTTAAATCCAACTCCTGTGTCCAACACTAGCACATTCAATGAGATTGGGTCTAATGTGGATCAACCAATTGAGTCTAAGGAGCCGGTGAGTAACATTTCTCTAAAAACTTGTAAAGTTATCAATCAGTTATCAGTTCTAAAGTCTATTTACAAATTCTGTGATTTTAGGAAGGGAAAAGAACCGAAATGGAGCCAGTAACTTCCGCTATCAGTACAACAGCAACAATTTCTCTAGAGGCCACCTCAACAATACAGGTTAAACAATACAAAACTAATTATGAGACAAAAGCTAAAATTGAAGATTGAGATTGAGATAAAATTGAAGATTTGATTCATGTTTAACGATTTTTAGTTCACTGATGCCCAAACTGAACCAATTTCGGAAGTGACAGGAGGATCAACTGCAACAGGAGGATCAACTGTAACAGAAGGATTAACTGCAACAGGAGGATCAACTGCAACAGGAGGATCAACTACAACAGAAGGATCAACTACAACAGAAGGAACATCTGCAACAGAGGGGTCAACTGCAACAGAAGGATCAACTGCAACAAAAGGATTAACTGCAACAGAAACTCAAACTCAACCGGTACTGATTATTAAGATTAGCAGAAGTTACTGATTTACAAGTTATTGTACAATTGTTGTCATTGATTGGCACTGATCACTTGCAAGGATTTCCAAAGTTTCAGACTACAACATCAATAGAGCCTGAGCCTGAGCCGTCAACCAGTCCCACCACTACTGCTACAACTCCAGCTAAGGTACAGAGAACTTTTTGATGAAATTCAATTCTTTGTCAGCTTTTCAAACATAATTATTTTTCTAATATCAAAAGCTTTTCTTTATTTAGGCTCTAACTACTCAAGAGCTTTCAACGGATAGAAACAGCCCTAGTGAACCATCGACAACTGAAACAATCACTTTGTCGACCGCATTGTTGACTTCTGAATCCACTACGACAACTGGAACAACGGTATCAAATTGATGGATAAGCTTGTTTAAAAAATTACAAATATTTAAAGATTAAGATTTGATCCTAAACAGACTCGTAGCCAGGGTTTTGCGACTTTCAATCTAACGGCCCGAGCTCCTCGAAGCTACTCTCAATCAATTTCTGACCAAGAAATTATATTTTTTAACATTTTAGCCTACAAAACTGTCTAAACAGTTTTATGAAAAGATTCAAGGGGCTGGAGGAGCTCGGGCCGTTAGACTGAAGGTCTGGAATTCTAGCTATGGGCTTGATCCTAAACTTCTTAATGAATGTTTAGGAAACAAAGCCCTCAACCTCTACAGATTCAACAACAACCGATTCAACTGGTGTAACGGTTTTAAAAGTAAGTCTAGTTTATCACTATAGAGATTGAAATAAGCAAAATCTTTAAATTTTAATATATTTTAGAATGAAGACTCTTCAACCACTCAATCACCACAGAGAACCACTCTTTCAACGATTCTTTTCAGTGAACCGATCACCGTTCAAGCGATTGTTGAAAGTAATTTTCGGTTTTTGTGATTTAAATCATAAATCTCTAGATACGACCCAAAAAGAACTGCCGGCTAGATGGAAAAATTTGATGGATCGACTGAAGAAAAAGCTGGAGGAGCTGAAAGCAAAGAAAGTGGCTGAGATTTTGGCTACGCAAACAACTACGACCACTACACCAAGTACTACGGTACATTGAGACGTTATTTATTCGTAAAGAATGAATTTTAGACCACTGACAGTTCGACAAATGCGGATGGTGCTTTGGAAAGTACAGCGGTGACGGCTACTACTTCATTGGCTACAACTACAACTACAACAAAGTCATCAACTACTGAAATTAGTACAAGTTCGATAACCGTACAAGGCACAGAACCAGCTTCGTCAACAACTGTTGAAAAAGATGCCCCGAGAAATCTAACAGTTGCTTCTGAATCAACAACCAAGGCTGAATCAAGCACAACTGCTGAAAAAGATGGCTTGACAAATCCTACAACTGTTGCTTCAACAACAGCTCAACTATCAACAACTATTACACAAGAAGCTCCAACAACTCCCACATCTGCATCGGAATCGTCAACAACGTCAACAACGACGACAACCATTGCTGTTGAAGTAACAGCAACAACTACAGCTCGTCCATCAACAGAAACAACAGCAGCTACAGACTCTTCTGCAACTCCTACTGATGATGAATCATCTACAACTGCATTACCAACAACACCTACAGAGTTTTCAACAACTTCTGCTGTTTCTCAATCAACTACAACCATAGAAACAACAGAAACAACAACAGGTTCAGCTATAGAACCTTCCACTACTGCTTCTGAATCAACTACAACAAAACAGCCAACTACAAGTGCTTTGCTGATTGGTGACGGTGAGATGAAAACAACCAAGAGTGAGAAGGGAACGGCTTTTGTCACTGCTGAACCGGAGACTGAGTCAACAACTGCTGCATCAACTATTGTAACCTCAGCTGATTTAACATCAACTATTTCCGTAGCTGAGTCAACTCATGATCAGAAGACAGCTACAACAGAAGTGGAAAGCTCAACTGGATTGGAAGTAGCCTTCAAAACCGAACCAGATCTTCCTCAATCAACAATAAAACAAACGGAAACAACCATAGTGCCGTTGATCATTTTCTCATTGCCCACGGTTAATCGATCGAATGGAACCGTTGTAAAAGCTTCTACCACCAAAAAACCAACTCATCCATCTAAAAAACCAAAAGTGAAACATGAGAAGGAAGAAGTTGATAAAGAAAATTCATATGAAGTTGATTCCGATGAAGAAGAAGAGCCAAAGCCGATGAAAGGAAATCATCCACGTGGATTCAAGGTGAGAATCTGAAGCTTGATTTCATCTTGATTAATGGATCATCATATTTTCAGATGATTGTGGCCAATGATGATGATAAACACCCGACCACAGTCAATCCCAATGATGAGAGCAGCGAAGAGGTCGCAAAGAAGCCAAAGCAAAAGAAGGGACCCTTATGGAGACAGCAGGGATTCAAGGTTTGTTTGCAAGTTTAAGGCTTAGGCTTAGGCTTAGGTTGGACTTACAAGAGAAGGCTACGAAATCAAGGTGGCCACGAAATCAAGGTGGCCACGAAATCAAGGTGGCCACGAAATCAAGGTGGCCACGAAATCAAGGTGGCCACGAAATCAAGGTGGCCACGAAATCAAGGTGGCCACGAAATCAAGGTGGCCACGAAATCAAGGTGGCCACGAAATCAAGGTGGCCACGAAATCAAGGTGGCCACGAAATCAAGGTGGCCACGAAATCAAGGTGGCCACGAAATCAAGGTGGCCACGAAATCAAGGTGGCCACGAAATCAAGGTGGCCACGAAATCAAGGTGGCCACGAAATCAAGGTGGCCACGAAATCAAGGTGGCCACGAAATCAAGGTGGCCACGAAATCAAGGTGGCCACGAAATCAAGGTGGCCACGAAATCAAGGTGGCCACGAAATCAAGGTGGCCACGAAATCAAGGTGGCCACGAAATCAAGGTGGCCACGAAATCAAGGTGGCCACGAAATCAAGGTGGCCACGAAATCAAGGTGGCCAGTCAAGAGGCCAATCAAGAGCTAGACCATCCGCAGAATTTGACGCTGATTCCGGATCTGCTGTCCGTTTTTGCTAAATAGATCGGAATCACAAAGAATTTGGCAAGCAATTTTTTACAAACAGCAAACATGACAACAATCAATGAAATGAGTAAGAGTTTCATACTACATTTAGCACAACAAATTCAGGGTGGTCCATAAAAAAGTCACTCATTTTGTGGATCTGGAAATATTTTTGCGCTAAGTTTTGATGTCACTTTGTGGTTTCAGAATTGGTTTTGCCACAGGGGCCACACATTGGCACAAAGTTGGAAACATTTCATGAATAAGACGTCATGTGATGATCAAAAGCCAAAAATCATTGTGTACATGTAATGAGATTTCTTTAATTTCTTTATTTCACCTGCCACTTTTTATTTCTAATGATTTGTTTTGAGCTCCTTTTGGACTATGATAAGATTTCAAAGTGCACTGCTAGCCTGTCCTTTTCAGAAAACGTGGGAAAAGCGGGGGATTTTTGAGGGAGAATATCTGTAGCTGTAGCCCGTCAGGCCATCAGGCCACCAGGCCACCATCTCGGCCATCTTTTTGAAATTCACTTATTTTTACTAGGCCAACATTATATTCGAATATCATAATAATTTTCTCACATCACACGACCTCTTATTCATGAAATTTTCAAGAAAAAACCAACTTTGTGCCAATGTGAGGCAAAATCAATTCTGACACCACGATGCACATCGGCGCGAAAATGCGTTTTCCATAGAATTTTTCTGAGAGTACCTTTTTTAGATGCGGAAAATTGTGCTGATTCCGAATATGAAGGAATTTTCCAAATCCCTCTGAAAGAAATTTTTTAAATTGAGTTTTAGCAGTTTTTTGGTCATTTTGTATCGGAAATTTTATGGTACCCTGCGGTTTGGAGCTCGTAACTCGACAACGAGGGTCTAGAACCAAAAACGAAGGGATAAATTTTATTCTAGAGACTCTTACGAACATTTTGATGCAAAAATCATCAAATTTGCTCAACTCTACAAAAAGTTATAACATTTTTTAAAAAAGAAATGAGAAAACTTAAAAAATTCTCTATTGCACAATTGTTTTGTTCAAAAGAACAATGTAGCTATGTATCGTAGTCACTCGAAACAATTAAGGAATATGTAAAATAATAGCTCAAGTTTAAAGGAACCAAATAGGGACTATAAAGGAGCTTTAAAGGAGCTCTAAAGGAACCAAATAGGGACTATAAAGGAGCTTTAAAGGAGTCGCGCGCCTTAGACCACTCGGCCACGGTTTCCCCTTATGTTTTTCGTGTATTTTGCAAATTTTTTTTAAAGATGTTATAACTTTTCGTAAAGTTGAGCAAATTTGATGATTTTTGCATCAAAATGTTCGTAAGAGTCTCTAGAATAAAACTTATCCCTCTTCGTTTTTGGTGTGATGTGTCAAAGCTCTGACATTTGCTCCAGAGTGGAGAATCGAATGTCGCGATGTGTCATCAAAAATCAGCGCAAAAAAATTCTCAGGTACACAAAGTGAGTTGGATGGACACTTTTTAATGGTCCACGCTGTAAAAGCGTATGAGCTGCAATTCATAGCCTTGCAAATTCGATTCTCCACTCTGGAGCAAATGTCAGAGTTTTTTTTGAAATAAAAAGCATCAATGTATTGTTGTACTGTGGGGATAGTGTTTAGACTTGTCGTTGGACAATCTTAGGAGCATATCTAGAACTGCTCTTTGCCAGGTGGTGTGCGATTACATAGATTGCATACATAGCACATAGAGAACACTATAAAATAGCTGTTCAAAAGAGAAAGACTTAAAAGGAGTCGAGCCTTAAAAGGAGTCGGGCCTACAGCTCCCTTCCGACACTTTATCCGCTACACTACGCAACTATTTCTTTGCTGGAATGTTATAAGAGAGGCCTAGAACTTGTTTGCCAAATTTCTTGCGATTTCGACCTATTTCCGACCCCGATTCCGACCAATTTTCTTGCGATTCCGACCTACCTAAAAACGGACAGTAGATTCGAAATCAGCGTAAAATTCAGTGAATGGTCTAGGTCTTGTTTCGATTGGTTGCCTTGATTTTGTGAACTTCTCTTGGTTACTTTTTACTCGTTACATTTTTTAGCTTACAGTTTTGGATGAATTTCAAGGCTTAACTTACACCAGATTGACTAAAATCGCCACTTTAACTCTTTTCAGACCATTGTCGCGAATGATGATGACAAGCACCCAACTACTGAGGCTCCTACGACGTAAATCATCTCGTTAAATTTAAAATTAATCGGACTTTCAGAACAACAACTGTTCTTTCATTCTTTACACTTCCTGGATTCAAAAAACACAACGATAATGCTACTGGTCTAGAAGAAGCGAAAAAGCTCTTTGCAAATCAAGGAACAACTCTTCCGTGAGTATCAGAAATTATGAAAACTGTTTAGACATAGCTAATAGACATAGCTAATAGCTATTTAAGACTAATTTAAGAATTACCTAATCAAATTTGACTCTTTTAACCTTTAGAAACCTTGGCTCAACCCAATCAGCCGATATGATCACTGGTTTGATTCGCGGTATCATCGGCGAAGCCAACAATGTTTTAGCAAGCTATAGTGTGAGTTACAGTATGACAAGGCATATCTTTAGATTTAGAAATTTGAGATAAAAGATAAGCTCAAGCTTTAGAAATCCCCGCTAACTCAAGCTCCCTCTTTGGGCCCGGCTTTTGTCACCGAGATGCCTATCTCATCTGGATCAATTGCGCAAGGATCTCCAACTTTCAATCAGGTAACGGACTTCAAGTTTAAATTATTATCCAATGATAGTCTTACAATCAAGAATAGCCAACTAATGGCATTTTTAAAGGCCATGAACTTAAAGATAGAGTCAAAAAGAGTCAATCCACACCTTACTAAAGATACTAGTTGTGCTAGAATGTAAAAGTTTGATTTCTTGAATTAGAATTGGGTAAATTGGATCAAATTCTGCTATAGTTACATTTATTGCATTTATTTCTGCATCTCAGCTGCATTTATTCCTTCATTTCAGTCACCTGTGAGCCCAGTTGAGCAAGAAATTGCCTCATTTGGAGCCAGCCAACCAGAACGAGTCGAACCAGTTATCAGAGTCAACCCAACAATCAGTTCTTTTGCCACTGGGTAAATTTTAATAAATTCATTGATTATTAGGCTTTTACTTTGGATTGTTAGAGGAATTATTGTTTAGAAGCCCGCTGGAAAGTGAGCCGGCCGATGTGCGAAGAACGCAAGCTTTGAATACTGGTGTTTTAGCGGAGAAGAGGCGATTGGAAGAGGTTTGTTGAGTTAAAAAAGGACTTGAAAAGTCAAAGTTAAGAATTTGAAATTTGATATAACAATCTTTCCTATTACAAGTACTTTTAGGCTCGAAGATTGCGAGAGGAACAAGCCAGAGTTGAGCAGTTGCACGAGAGAGAACGACAGGAACAGATTAAGGTTTTCAAAAAGAATTAATTCTGACTTAATATTCCGAAAATACTAATACTAAGCCTAAAAAGACATACAGGGTGCGTCATAATTATTGCAATAAGATACTCAAGGCATTGCACACCAAGAAGTTTCACTGGAAGAAGATTTTTAAACAGAAATAGCTTTATTTAACAGTAACAAATAAGGAAACAAGAGATCATTCGATATGGCCGCCTTTTGCCTTGATAACAGCCCTGAATCGGTTCGGATATGCCTCCACTGCGGCCCGAATGTCATCTTGAGGAGTCGCCTTCCATCCTTTGGTCAAAGACTTCTTCAAAGAATCCAAACTTGTGTGTTTTCGAGAGCAGACATTAGCCTCTAAGATTGCCCAAATGGAAAAGTCCATCACATTGAGATCCGGTGAGTTTGGAGGCCATTCATCCTTGGTGATCACTGAGGGAAAGTTGGCCACACACCAGTTCTGAACCGTCTTCTTCGTGTGAGCGGGAGCTCCATCTTGCATGAGGTCCAATTTTGATTGTTATTGGCTTTACACGCCCATGACATCACATTCTTGACATCACAAACGGTCTTTGAACTCTTGTTGCAATAATTATGACGCACCCTGTAGATAAATTTAAAAATCAGCTTTTTAATGTCTTTTTTTCAGGAAGAGATGAAGAAACGACGAGATGAGATGATCAAGCAACTCTTAGAGCTTAAAGAAGCCGAGCAACGACAGAAAGAGTTGTTAGCTGAAAAGGAAAAGCTGGCTGAGGTTGAAATTATGAAAATTTACATTAAATCGTGTGTTAAGCTTAGTTTTCAGCATCTATTTTTTTTCATTTCAGGAAGCCAGAGCTTTAATAGCTCAAAGAAAAGAGCTAACTCAAGCGAATTCCGATGAGATCGACACCGAGACCACAAATAATCCGAATGTTGTTGTTAGGTGAGAAAATTTTCATTGCAAAAATTGCAAAAACCATTTTACATTTGTTTTAGATACAAATTGAGACCCTCACAATGCGCGGCGATCAACAAATTCACGAGAGTCTTCAAAATTTCTGATCCCTCCGACTGGATTCAGAGAAATTGCCAATTCGCGAAGAAGTGAGTCAAAGATTTGTACAAAAATGATAACAAAAATCTGACAAAACTTCAAAGATAGAACATTAAAAAGTTAAAAAGCAGATAGCGTCAAATTCTCACTTTTTCTTGGGCCAGGTTTATTTTTCCAGAACAGGCCAGGCCAAGTGAAATCAGGGTTGTGGCGCCTCGCCCCCTTGCCATTGGCAAGCCAACTTTGAGCTCAAATATCTTGATGTGGGGCTGTCCAATTTAAATAGTTTTTGTACCAATCGACAGAGAAAGACTTGACGCATCCAATGATACCAAGAATATTTAAATTGGATACCCCAACACCAAGATTTTTGAGCTCAAAGTAAGATTGCTGATGGAAAAAGGGGCCGGGCTTATCCAATAACCAAATTTTATTGTAAAAGGTTTGAGATTTGACGGTTTGAAGTTTATCGGACATCTGATAAGCCCCGCCCCCTTGTTTTTAACAATCTAACTTTGAGCCCAAACATCTTGGTGTTCGGCCGTCCAATTTCAATAGTATTGGACCAATCGACAGAGAAAGGCTTGGCGCATCAAATGATAATGGCGAAGAGGGCAGGACGCGTATAAAAGGCTACCAGACATCTGATAAGCCCCGCCCCTTTGCCATTGGCAATCTAACTTTGAGCTCAAATATCTTGGTGTAGGGCTGTTGAATTTAAATAGTTTTTGTACCAATCGATAGAGAAAGACTTGGCGCATCTAATGATACCAATAATTTATAAATTGGACAGCCCAACACCAAGATATTTGAGCTCGAAGTTGGAATGCCTATGGCAAAACGGGGGCTTATCACATGCTCGATAGCCTTTTATACGCGCCCCGCCCCCTTTGCTATTGGGAATGCAAATTTGAGCTCAAATTTCATGGTGTTCGGTGCATCCAATGATACCAAGAATCAATTTCAATGGTTTTTGTACCAATCGACAGAGAAAGACTTGGTGCATCTAATGATGCCAAAAACATTTAAATTGGATAGCCCAACACCAAGAGATTTGAGCTCAAAGTTGGATTGCTATTGGCAAAATGAGCGGGGCGTGTATCAAAGGTTCGATAGCCGAAATCAGTGCCAGGTTTGGCTTCTGGTTGTGCCAGACTTAGCCTGACTTTATCGCAAGCTTGAACCCAAAAAGTCCCTGAACCAGAAGCTGGATCTGCTTTTTGATAATCCTGGTAGTCGGGCCCTATGATTCGACCGGGCCCTATGATAATCCTGAACAAATCATGGATCAGCCCTGACAGTGACAAAGAGTTCTAGTTCTGCTTTAAAATTACAATTTTGTTCAGTCAACTACAAATCACTTTTTTAGATACTTCCCGCAAGCTTCTTGTTCTCAAATCCAAAGCCTTATCGAGTCGTGCTTCGTCTTTTTGTAGCCTCATCTTTCAGTTTCTCTAGCTCATAATTCAAAATTCGGGTATTTTCAAGTAAAAGCGATTTCCTGAGAAACTTTTAATCTTTTCCTTTTTTTTCCGTACCTCAGTGAACCAAAAGATGATCTTCAGTCAAGAGAAAATTCCAAAAGAATAAAATTTTTTATGTTTTTTTTGTAGATTTTCATGTTTTTAAGCAATAAACCTTTGAAATATGATATTTTATTTTCAGATTTCGAAATTTGACTCAAATTTTGACTTTGATAAAGGGAAAATTCGCTGAGCATACGATGATTAACACAAAAATTAATCAAAAAATGACACAAAACTAGAAAAAATAACTACTCAGGTATAAACATATTGGGTTGGTGAATTGAAAACAGCGGGCTATTGTCATATGTGACAGTTTGAGCACTTTCTTCAAAAGAAACCCATTTTGGTGTCAGTGGAAAAGTTGTAGAGAATCAAAAATCAAGCTTATATCCAAATTTTCAGAACGATTCAAGAAACTGGTTTTCAAGAAATGCCAAATTTACGAATTTTCACAAAACTTGCGTTTTAAGCGAAACTACTAAGTGTATCTTTTTGGAAATTTGGCTATATGCGTAATTTTTGATTCTCTACAACTTTTCTATTGACACCAAAATGGGTTTCTTTTGAAGAAAGTGCTCAAACTGGGACATCTCCAGTCCTCCATTTTTGAGTGTCACACTTGTCTCACACACAAACCAAAATCCTACTACGAAAGAGGAATCCGCAAATTGCCTGTAAAATGGGCAGAAGTCGTTCAATAATAATGGAAATAATTTGGAATGAATTGATGATTTTATGTTGAATAAATTTTAGTTCAAAGTCCCGCAGTTTTCAATTCACCAACTCAATAAAAGAAAAAGAACCAAAAATTGCCAAAAAACAGATTGATATTTACCTATTAGTAGATAGTTTTGTTTACAAGCTTGCTAAGTTTTAAAAAGCAAAGTTAAATTGAGCTTTTGAACATACAATATCCTTTTAAATAATTAGCTTAGTATCTTGAAAAATCAATCAATCTTGAATATCAAAAAAAGAGAATTTCTTTAGTTCAAGCAGAGAAAAGTAGGTTTATCACGTAGATTTTGCATCAAAGTTATTATGAAATAATAAAAAGTTCTCGCTAAACTACTAAGTGTATCTTTTTGGAAATTTGGCTATATGCGTAATTTTTGATTCTCTACAACTTTTCTATTGACACCAAAATGGGTTTCTTTCGAAGAAAGTGCACAAACTGGGACATCTCCAGTCCTCCATTTTTGAGTCTCACACTTGTCTCACACACAAACCAAAATCCTACCACGAAAGAAGAATCCGCAAATTGCCTGTAAAATGGGCAGAAGTCGTCAATAATAATGGAAATTATTTGGAATGAATTGATGGTTTTGTTGAATTGTTTATGTTGAATAAATTTTAGTTCAAAGTCCCGCAGTTTTCAATTCACCAACCTAATAGATCGTTTCATTTCTAGGGTTCATTTTGAAGTTCTATTTTGGAAATTCTCTTTGGATTTAAATCTTCAAATGAACATCCAATTTATGGTCTTTTCATTGGCTAAAATCTTAAACTAACTATGAGAAAAGCTTTGTGACAATTAACTTGAGAATTCTGATCAATTTTGTATTTGATAGAAAAACAAGCGAGCAGCAAGTGCTTGTGAAAGCACGATTATGCGTGGCTCTTTTATCTTGCAGCCCGAATCTGCTTTCTAGAGCTTTTCTAGAGAAAAATGATCTAGAGCTTTCTAGAGAAATCCTCTAGAGCTTTTCTTGTAAATCGTGTGATTAAAGTTTGGAATGCCCTTCTCGACAAGTTGCGTTTGATTCTTGACCGTGTCTGATTTTAAAAGGGTTACTTCGTTGCATTTTAAGTGACTTTGTGATCTTTTTTCTACATTTTTCATGTCATTTTCGCTTCATTTCTTTCTAAATAAAGTATTTATATAAGATTTCGAAATTTGACTCAAATTTTGACTTTGATAAAGGGAGAATTCGCTGAGCATACGATGATTAACACAAAAATGATCGTAAAAATGATCGTAAAATCAAAAAATGACACAAAACTTTCAGAATCACAAATGTTTTTTGACAAAAATGATTTCTAAAGTGGATTTCCTTTCAACTACCACGATTTTCTTATACCCGAATGGAAAAATTCAAGAAGATATTTGTACAGATAAAGGGTAATTGAAGATTCAAACAAAAAAAAATCCTAAAGCTTTCATTAGAAGATCTCAACTTTTCTCGATTAGAAAAACTTTCTCCTGTACGATAATGGCGTTGAGCATTTTGGGCAATAGTGTTGAACGTCTTTACAAGAGTCTAAACAAAAGGGAACAAAAGCGAGTGGGAAGAAAAATATTAAAATGACGACAACGAGAATCCATGTGAAAGTGCCCGTCACATAGTGCTGTCGGGTTGTGATTGGCATCTGAAATTTGATTATATTACTAAAATTTTTAGCATCTATCAGACAAATCATTGAAATATTGATGAATCCTATTGATTCCTATTCGTTTCGCTCATTGAATTCGTTCATTGAATCTTTTTCAGTCAGACAAATTCCAAATCCATTCAAAAACTTATATTCTTTGATTAAAAAGTGGTTTTGAGTAGGGATTCCTACAGGGTGCGTCAGAATTATTGCAACAAGAGTTCAAAGACCGTTTGTGATGTCAAGAATGTGATGTCAAGAATGTGATGTCATGGGCGTGTAAAGCCAATAACAATCAAAATTGGACCTTCATGCAAGATGGAGCTCCCACTCACACGAAGAAGACGGTTCAGGACTGGTGTGTGGCCAACTTTCCCTCAGTGATCACCAAGGATGAATGGCCTCCAAACTCACCGGATCTCAATGTGATGGACTTTTCCATTTGGGCAATCTTAGAGGCTAATGTCTGCTCTCGAAAACACACAAGTTTGGATTCTTTGAAGAAGTCTTTGACCAAAGGATGGAAGGCGACTCCTCAAGATGACATTCGGGCCGCAGTGGAGGCATATCCGAACCGATTCAGGGCTGTTATCAAGGCAAAAGGCGGCCATATCGAATGATCTCTTGTTTCCTTATTTGTTACTGTTAAATAAAGCTATTTCTTTTTAAAAATCTTCTTCCAGTGAAACTTCTTGGTGTGCAATGCCTTGAGTATCTTGTTGCAATAATTATGACGCACCCTATATTAGACAAATCATTGAAATATTGATGAATTTTATTGATTCCTATTCGTTCAATACATTCATTTATTCGTTTCGCTCATTGAATTCGTTAATTGAATCTTTTTCAGTCAAACAAATTCCAAATCCATTGAAAAACTTATATTCTTTGATTAAAAAGTGGTTTTGAGTAGGGATTCCTATATTCTGATGTTAGACTAAAGTTTGGTAGACGTATTGTCTCTAGAATAGACGTAGACTCAATAAGTTTGATTGTAAAAGAAATTGAAAGATAGCCAGGCTTCTAGTTGAACTAAATCTACAATATATTAGGTTGTCCAGTTATAAATGCGCGTTTTTAAGATAACAACTCTTTATTTTAAAACCAACAGTTTAACAGCTCAATCAACAATATATTCACCATTTGTTAACATTATTTGTTTCCATCTTCCATGCAAAGAATGAATTCCCTCCGCGTAAAAATTGGCTTGTTTTGAGGCAAAGAAGTCGGCTATCCATTTTTCGACCTCTTGAACTTCTTTGAACTTGTTTCCGGCCAAATGGCTTCGCATTGAGCGAAATAAATGGTAATCCGAAGGAGAAATATCCGGAGAATATGGCGGATGCGGGAGAGTTTCCCAGCCCAACTCTTCGAGTTTTTCCTGAACAATCTTTGCAACGTGTGGACGAGCGTTATCTTGAATGAACTTTATGTTTGAAGGATCAAGGCCTTTTTGTAGCAATACATTGTTCACTCGTTCCAATTGTTGTGCATACGTTTCACCCGTGATTGTTTGCCCAGGTTTCAGCAGCTCAAAATACCCAATGCCTTGGGGATTCCACCAGACAGTAAGCATTACTTTCTTGTCAAGGAAGTCGGGTTTTGGTGTTGGTATTGGCTCCACACCAGGTTCTAGCCATTGCCGTTTTCGTGTAGAATTATCATATTGAATCCATTTTTCATCGCAAGTAAGTATTTCATCGTAAAACCCAGTATTTTTTGCCAAACGAAGAAGAATACCCGCCATAGTGACACGAGTAGCTTTATTGGCATTGCTGAGAAGATGAGGAACCCATTTCCCTTGTCGGCTTGTTTTCCCCAATTGATTTAAATGCTCGGAAATGGTTTGAGGGCTTACTCTAAATATTTCTGCAAGTTCACGCGTCGTTTGTCGAGGATCCATTTCTATCGCCTGCTTCAGTACTGCATTATCGATCGCAGGAGGTCGTCGTTGGTGGTCTTCGTCTTCCAAAGATTCATTTCCTTCTCGAAATCGTTGAAACCATCGGCGACCGAAATAGCATCTTAGCCAAATACTTTGCAGAGATCTAGATGGGATTCAACGGCATTTTTGCCCAATTTGAAGTCATAACAAAGACTGGCACGATGACGAAACTTCGTCTCGGTCATTTAAACACGGAAATTAAATCAAAAATGAATTAGTTTAACGTCAAAAACACGAAAAGTTGTAATAAATAAGAAATCTTGAACAACATATAGAGAATAGGGTTTGATAAAATTGTATAGCCCTAAGGTACGCTGTTCAAGAGCAGGCGCGCATTCATAACTGGACAACCTAATATAAGAGCTGTGTCTGTCTGTGCGTAATAATCCTTTTCAAATAGACCATTTCAAATAACTTATAGTTAGTCTAACTTAGAATTTCATCTAGTTGTGCAACATGTTTTTAAATTTTTAAAAAACCAAAAGTGCCGACGCGGGCGGGAGTCGAACCCGGGTCGTGTGGGCTAGAGACAAGTGCGTTCGCACTGCACCATCTACTAGAGCGAGTGGTTAACGAGCGCGTCTCTCAAACGAATGGAAGAGAGGGCACGGGTTCGATTCCTCTCGCCGTCAAGTCTTTTGCTTTTTGCTGCGAAGTCCTCTAATAGAACGCCATCGCCATAATGGCAGTCGCCTAGCCTAACTTTAAACGTCTCTTTCTCCGGGCTGCTTTATGCTACAGTGTGCGCTTGGATGTCAAATGATAGCTCTTGAAATCTAGTATTTTTTGGTGATAAAAGTCCAGTTCGGAAACAAGAAGTAGACTTTTTATGCCTCTTTCATTTTGTAACTTTCGTGAGTCAACCTTTACCTATTTAACCTTGATTCAACCTTTCTCTCACTATGTTTCCATACCCAAAGCTAACTCTAGCCATTGTGTTTCTCTAGTTTAGTGATTTGCACTATTTCAGGAAGAGAGAGATCATCCGGATCACCCAATTCTCCAACCTCAGGTTTCACTCATTTGGAGATTTAACCCCTCCTCTAGCTGATGTCCCTGTCCCTCTAGCTGATGTCCCTGACCTCTATTTTCTCATGTCTAATCTTCCTGTAATTGTCATAGCTCATGTAGATAAAACAATCTTCTTATCTTTCGAAAAATCCAAGACAGATCGGTCACTTATTCCTCCCTCTACTATGGAGTTGAGGCCAGTTGTCTGTGGTGATGAGAGTGGCAGGAAAACCTCCTCTCAATCTTTCATTCTTACAGAGTAAGCAACTCTTATAGAGTACATTCTCACCGAAATTATCTACTACTAACAAAAAGTATTGTACTAACCTGGCATTTTGGACAAAATGTCTGATAGGGAGCTGAAGTAGCCGCCTCTTTGACTGGGTGAACGATAACCAAAGTACTTGACTGTGATGGTGGATGCATGAAAGCTGATGGTTGAGCTGATAAAGGCACGAATGGAGCAGGACCTATCTGGAATAAGAAAAGTTATCAAAAAATGAATTTGAAAAAGTTTTTTGACGTCTTTCCGTTAACCAAACAAAGTCGATTTGTTTATTTCTTGTGATTCGTCGCCGGAGAATTGGTAAGCAAAGATACAATGCCTTTTTTGCGGGAAATGATTCAGATATTGACTAGCTTTAGTGTCTATTCAATGTTTATAAGAATTTATACTTTATTGTAAATCTGTTAAACCTAAAAAACGTTTTGCATCCATTTTTAGCAAGATTAAATAATAGTTGGCAAGGTGAGCTGTTAAAAAAGTTGTCAGGAGAATTGCTTTGTGCTTTGCCTGTTTCTAAAGCAACTATCTTACTAATTAGTACTAATTAGTACTAATTTGTACTGATTAGTACAAGATTTAGATCATAAATTGACAAAACTGAAGATCCTTAGCTATTGGTGAATTTAAAAGCTATTTAAAAGCTTAAAAGTTATTTAGGTACACAATTCTACTGTAGTGAGGCTAGGACTTGTGCTTTCAGCTTTCGACTAACCAAACATCTACAGTTAGTCGATCTTTAGTAGCCGTATCTACTAGAGATAAGAAAATTCCAACCCGAACCTAATTTCACCTTCGCTTTCTCAGCCTTGGTCGATTGTTCTGAAATCTTGTTGACAAATAGAAACTAGGATTCTTTGCTTGTAAAGAAAATTTCAATGCCAAAAGACGGCTGAGAAAACGAAGGTGGATTGAAACTAGGTTGAAAAACTGGAACTAGGTTCGGGTTGGAATTTTCCCATATCTAGTATCTACTATATAAAAAAGTGTCTGTCCGTCCGTCTGTCAGCGCGAGTTCTCGGCTCCTCGTAGCCCGATTTACATGATTCTTAGTTTGTTTGGCTTAGAATTCTATGCAGTTGTGCATTACTTATTTCGTTTTTTAAAAAGCAAAAGTCATGACACAGCCGGGAGTCGAACCCGGATCGTGTGGGCCGTAGAGAAGCACGATCACGACTGCGCCATAACGACAAAAAGGCTGTAGAGAAGCGCGCTCACGACTGCGCCACAACGACAAAAAGCCCGGCCAGAAAAACCCACTGTTAGGTGGGTCTTTCGGTTGGTATTGTAATTTTTGAACTTGTCTGGTTTGAACTTGTCTGGTGCATGTTCTCCTAGGATCAATCAAGTTTATTTTGATTTCAATTGTTCAATTGCAAAACACTGACCCGTATTGATGATTCTCGTTTCTCATTTTTTTCATTATCAGCCATTTCTAGGGACTTTTCCGTCTTCGGCTCGGGACTTTCATAGGGTGGAGGGGGTCTTGGTGGAGAATATGATGGAGGCGGGGAATCACTCGACATCTGAAAGCTTTCCTTTTGAAAAAATCAATTCTAATTCATAGCAAATGAATTGAAATAAGAAATAGATGATGAAAAAAAGCTTTCGGAGGTATTTTTTCGTGTACAACTGCAAGAGCAAGCGGTTTTGTTACGAATAAACGACAAAACGGCATTAAAATGGCAAAAAAAAAGAGAAAAGACTTTCAATCGACATATTCAAAGCGATTTTAAAATGAATTTCAATTTTGTGATGAAATTGATCTCGAATTTTTGTTGATATTTAGTTTGGAAAAATGAGAAAAATGAGCTGAAATCGGACTCCAAAATGCCGAAAATGAAAAGAAAGAAAGAGTCTTGCGAGTCGAAACAAAAATGGAAACAATCATTTTGGGAATTTTGAGGAGTTCCCACAGAAAAACTGCGAAAAAGAGGAGTTTTGTTAAATTTTGAAATGTTGGCAAAGTTTTTCTTTCAAAAGTCCAAAAGAAAATGAAGAAGTCTTTGAGAATCAGGAAATCTTTAATCTTTCACAGAAAAGATGGAAAAATTTCTGTTAGCATTTAATTTTGAGAGTTTTACAAGTACAGTATAGTGCCCTTTACAGTTCTGTATTTGTTTACAAGTACAATAAATTTTGGAAGTCTTTAAACACCCAAAGCTCACTGTACCTTTACAGTAGGTTCCAAATTTCCAAACAATCCAAAGCAAAGCTCATTTTTATAAAGCTTATTAGTTAACTTAGTTAGTTAGTTAGTTAACTTAGTTAGTTAATTCCCTCTGGAGTAAGGGAGATCGAGTGCGTTGTGGTGTAATGGTTAAGAAAGTTTTCAATTTTATTTTTGAAGGTCGCCTTTTGGGTCCTCCCTCCAAGCCTATACTCCATCAACCTATACCCTGTATTAATGCAGGTCCTATGCTAATTCAGTACTAATTTCCTTCAGCCTATACCCCATCAGCCTGTACCCCATCAGCCTGTACCCCATCAGCCTGTACCCCATCAGCCTATACCCCATCAGCCTGTACCCCATCAGCCTGTACCCCATCAGCCTGTACCCCATCAGCCTGTACCCCATCAGCCTATACCCCATCAGCCTGTACCCCATCAGCCTGTACCCCATCAGCCTGTACCCCATCAGCCTGTACCCCATCAGCCTGTACCCCATCAGCATGTACCCCATCAGCCTGTACCCCATCAGCCTGTACCCCATCAGCCTGTACCCCATCAGCCTGTACCCCATCAGCCTGTACCCCATCAGCCTGTACCCCATCAGCCTGTACCCCATCAGCCTGTACCCCATCAGCCTGTACCCCATCAGCCTATACCCTGTATTAATGCAGGTTCTATGCTAATTCAGTACTAATTTCCTTCAGCCTATACCCCATCAGCCTGTACCCCATCAGCCTGTACCCCATCAGCATATACCCCATCAGCCTATACCCTGTATTAATGCAGGTCCTATGCTAATTCAGTACTATTGGGTTGGGGAGAATGAGTCGGCGCCGAAAATGAAAGAAATTTCTAAAACTTATAGCAGACTTTGTCAAATGATATGCGTTTGATATCCGTAGAAGGGTAACTAATTCTCTACAAAATAATATTTAAAAGAGAACTCAAACAGCGCCTCAACCCAACAAAGGATCATTTTTTCACAAAATCGATAAACTGTCATCTAGAGTAAACGGTTGGAGGGATCTTCCTGAAAATTTGGTAACTTATGTAATTGAGTGTGCTCTATCTTTTTTATATAAACACCAAAGGAGGTTTATGTGGAAGAAACTGTTCAAGCAATGAGTCGGACTTTTTGTCATTTTGATTAGCTGTGTTTGGGAATCCATAAAATCCCAAAAAAGAAAAGCTTTGTGGAATCTCTCAAAAGCCATTTTGTAAAGAAATAGTGGACCATTTTGATGAAACAAAACGTGTATTTAAAGAAGGTTTTATGGGGGCAAAAAGTTTCTTTAAATTTCGGCGCCGACTCATTCTCCCCAACCCAATAATTTCCTTCAGCTTATACCCCATCAGCCTTCAGCTCAGCCTATACCATCAGCCTATTTTTTTCAGTTGCCCGATAAGCGGAAGGTCGCGGGTTCGAGTCCTGGCGATACACAAGTTTTTGATCTGTAGCTCCAACTCATTTAGCTTTTTAAATAAAGATAAATCTTCTAAAGGTGTTCTTTGTGTCTTTTTTCCGGCAAAAGATCACCTTGTGAAAAATTGATTGGTTCCCTTTTCAACAAAGGTCTCTAGGGAAAGCAATGATGCGGTCGCTGTTGTGAAATCTTGACGTCAGCTCTTATTGCTTAAAATAGCTCTAGTTTAACAAGTTTTGTAAAAATTCAATAGCAAACTTGCTTAAAAATATGTTAAATAACAAATTTTGAAGGTAGGCTCAAGAAAAACTGATAGGTTTAAGGTTTTGAGATCTTTCCAACTAAACAAACCCTTTGATAACTTGGAAAACAAGCAGAGGTGAAGAGAGATTTCAAATTTATCTCTTTCAAGCTTTTGATTATAATAAACTCTCCAAAATCTGCTAAATTTGCAAGTTTTCTGACGGTTTTAAGTTTTCACAAGATATCTTTGAAGTAAGCAAACAAAATATCTCTTAGGAAACAAGTGAAAACTGAGAAGATTTGAAAAACATGAGGCTCTCATCCTTGGTTGAATATTTGAAGTAAACATTGGGAAAACGAGGTTTGAATATTCGAGGGTCTTCTTTTTGAGGCATTGAGTGGGTGGAAGAGAAAAAGAAAAGACCGACAAACGAGAAATGGACACCCACAACGACATTGAGTGGATTGGGGATGGGACAGAACACAATGAGGGACACCAAAACAGATCAAATATCTTGTAGATAATTCAGCAACTTTAGAACAATAATGTTAAGTTTTGCTTGTCTTATTTACACCTGTCAAAGTCAAGATTTAGATTTAGATTTAGATTTAGATTTCTAAAAGAATGAATTTGAATTATTCAAAATTGGTGACTTTTTTAAACTCTAACGTTTCGTGAATGGAAGAGAGAAGGAATTAAAAGAAAAACAACCAAAAATTGCCAAAAAACAGTTTGATATTTACCTATTAGTAGATAGTTTTTTTTACAAGTTTGCTAAGTATTAAGTAGCAAAGTTAAATTGAACTTTTGAACATTCAATATCTTTTTATTGGGTTGGTGAATTGAAAAATGCGGGCGATTGTCATATGTGACAGTTTGAGCACTTTCTTCAAAAGAAACCCATTTTGGTGTCAATGGAAAAGTTGTAGAGAATCAAAAATCAAGCTTATATCCAAATTTTCAGAACGATCAAGAAACTGGTTTTCAAGAAATGCCAAATTTACGAATTTTCACAAAACTTGCATTTTAAGCGAAACTACTAAGTGTATCTTTTTGGAAATTTGGCTATATGCGTAATTTTTGATTCTCTACAACTTTTCTATTGACACCAAAATGGGTTTCTTTTGAAGAAAGTGCTCAAACTGGGACATCTCCAGTCCTCTATTTTTGAGTCTCACACTTGTCTCACACACAAACCAAAATCCTACTACGAAAGAGGAATCCGCAAATTGCCTGTAAAATGGGCAGAAGTCGTTCAATAATAATGGAAATAATTTGGAATGAATTGATGATTTTATGTTGAATAAATTTTAGTTCAAAGTCCCGCAGTTTTCAATTCACCAACTCAATAAAAGAAAAAGAACCAAAAATTGCCAAAAAACAGATTGATATTTACCTATTAGTAGATAGTTTTGTTTACAAGCTTGCTAAGTTTTAAAAAGCAAAGTTAAATTGAACTTTTGAACATACAATATCCTTTTAAATAATTAGCCTAGTATCTTGAAAAATCAATCAATCTTGAGTATCAAAAAAAGAGGATTTCTTTAGTTCAAGTAGAGAAAAGTCGGTTTATCACGTAGATTTTGCATCAAAGTTATTATGAAATATGGCAATTCATTTAAAAAGTCAGAAAAGCTGTTAGAAAAGCTGAAAAAAGTTTTAAACATAACCCTCAAAGTTGCTGAAGTGCTGGAAGTAACTTTTACTTAAGAAAAATAAGAAATCCAATCATAAGAAGTCAAATAGAAACATCGTCATTGAAAGGAATGCATAAACATCACAACATTTCCAACAATACAAACGAGAGATCCCAAATACGATCAAATTTCTCATCGACAATCCCTCAAGTAGCCCTTGTCGAACAACAATGGACTTTCGATTGGAAAAAGGTTTTTGGTCGGCTGCAGGAAAAGTTTGGAAATACACTAATCGAATTTCCAGACGACTCTAATCAAATTTTGCAAGATGGAGGCGGTTCTTATCAGCTTGAGTCAATGTACCAAAGTTCTGCTCTTCGAGAAGACTCGGGCGGTGAATGCAAACAATGAAATTGATCAAGGTTTAAGAAATCAATGTACTTTAGGCCAGATATTTGTTCTCTAGTTGAAAAAGTCAGGGATTAGTCTAACAATTCGGAAAGAATGATCGTTTGCCTCTTTTAATCTTTTAATGTTTTAATCTTACATCTTTTACTGCCTTTAGTGATCAATTTTGAATAAGAGCTGGACTTACAAGTTGTACAATTGCAATCAAAACTGTTCCTTTTTCAATTTTCAGATCAGATCAGAATCATGCTAAAACTAGAATAAAGCTCTGGGTTTTTGATGGTCAAACGTGGCTGGGTTTTGGGTTCATTTATTGTTAGCTTAGCTTGGCTTTGGCTTGACTTTGGCTTGGCTTTGGCTTGGCCTTGGCTTGACTTTGGCTTGGCTTGGCTTTGGCTTGGTTTGGGCTTGACTTTGGCTAGCTTCGCTTCGCCTAGGTACCCATAGGGTTCATTTATTGTTAGCTTAGCTTGACTTTGGCTTGGCTTTGGCTTGGCTTTGGCTTCGGCTTTGGCTTGGCTTTGGCTTGGCTTTGGCTTGGCTTTGGCTTGGCTTTGGCTTGGCTTTGGCTTGGCTTTGGCTTGGCTTTGGCTTGGCTTTGCCTAGCCAAAAGCCTCGCCTCGCCTAGGTACCCATAGCTT